TCAGCAAATATAACGGTAATTCTCATGAAGGTATCACATATTTGACTGATTCTTCATACATTTCTGATTTTCAAGTCCTCAAGGGGAATTTCAGAGGAAATTACCTCAATGTGGGTTTAGAATCAGTGAATAATGGTTTCCAGAAGAGGATTACTGTCAATTACACAGGGAGTTACTAGAGGCAGATCCCGCTGGGTCCCCCTGGTATATTCTGGCAAAGATGTAATAGAGGTAGAGTATTCGCATGAATTATCGAACAATAGTTATCATTGTTAATACCGTATTTTCTTGAGTATAGTGCACACTTTTTGAAAAAAACACAGCTGTGTAGAAGGGGGTGCGCATTATACACGAATTAATGAGTTTTGATGTTTTTTCCCCAATGGAAAGACATTACCGTGAGCACGTATACCGGAAATACCATGTCAACAAATCCATACTGAAGTACGCAAATTAGTCAAATTAGTGTTCTTTGTATATCTGGACTTATGTTTGTAACTTATTTTATTAATTTTATTCAAAATTCCTTTTAATATTGTTTTAGTTAATTTCGGCAAAATCATGTGTGAAGCGATCAGAAGATCGCACAACTCACCGTTATTAACAGCAACCACGGTCAGATTACCGCTATTGATGCCTTGAAATGATCTTTAGTTGACAGAGAATGGATACATATATCATAAATGCCATACTGTGACTCGTTAAAAGTCATATTTGTTTTTGTTGGTTGATTCTATGTCAACACGTAATTGTCGAGATCGTGCGATCACGTGCATGGGAGCCTTGACAGTGACTGGTCAGACTGGTTCCATGTAAAAAATAATACCAGGCAATAGCGATCAGCTGCTCCGCTTAGGGCTAATATTATTTTAAATCTGCATCTAAATTAACAAGATATTTGAATATATTATTCCTGATAAAAAATAGTTTCAGATACAATTTTTGCTGATCCTTGCATTAAAATCCTGTAAAGTTATATCATTGGGTGTGTCTTGACTGAATCACCGGTAGATTCCAAGAAAACGTGTGTACGGCTGATTGCCCTGTCCGGCTTAGTTTACGAAAAAATACACAAGGTAATCTTTATCCCTGGATATAAAACAATGCCTAGCAGAACAAAAAATACAATTTAAACGGTAAATCAACATGTCTGGTGATTTTTTATCTCAAATTTCGAATTTGTACTGACCAATTTTTAAGTTTCTCATCACCCGTTCATTGCACCCAATGTTGCAGCACCTAATCTAGGAGATTTAAAAGATGTTGAGGTTCGAGGCTCCAGTAATAACACCTTGTACAATCTTGTCCACACTGGTGATAATAAATGGATTATGCTCGAAACATATATCGACTGGCTACCAAACATCATCATTAAACCACCATATATCATCATCACATATAAAATAATGAATAGTGGAAATATACTGGGGGCATATATTCCATCAAAACGAGAGAGTGTGTTCGCTGCTCCACTACTGGAGAAACCAGGTCATATGTTAATGAATCATCCAGCATTCAAAGATATTAGCATAAATGTGGTTACTGCATTCGCTGGTGTATTAAATAACTTGAGGGCTATGCCTTACTTACTTACACTGGAGATTTTACGTGCGCTTTCCGAATCTAGCATATTTTGCACATGGGCCCGGCCGGGCCATTTAGTGTATTTCGAAAAGGGAAAAAAATAATTGGCAACCCAGGGGGAGAATTTATTGGCTATGCCTGTTGGCTCTACCCTTTATAAAGAAGTCTTGTTGGGGGATGCTCGATAAAATTTCCTCTCTGTATTACCAGTGTAAGCTGCCAAAATCTACCCCCCTTCAGAGTATACCTAAGTCTTAAATGGGGTAAAAACCATGAGCATCAAACATGCTTTCAAGTCTTGAAGGTGTGAGTTGTCATAGCGACTGATTTACGACACCCATTGTCTGAAGAACATTTAATTGCAAAGGCTCATTACCCTGGAGCCATGACATCTATGTGCCTTAAAACACTTAATTGCTGTTATTTATAAGATACTAATCCTAATTGTTAATCCCCATTTTTGTGTACATCGACCGTCTGCCATCCTGCTGATGAATTACTGTTTACATTTATATTTATTACTTACTAAATGTCAGGTGACCTTGGCTATATAAGCCTTGGTCCAGAGAGATTGAGAGTCTCCCTCAGTGGACTACAAGCCCTCAAAAATAAAAACACTAAAAACAGCCCCAAACTAATAAATCAAATACTCAATAGCTCAAACAACTTAACTAAGGCAGGTAAACAAATAGAGTTCATTTGGATCCCCGCCCACGTAGGAATCTTTGGAAATGAAAAGGTAGATAAAGCAGCAAAATTATCCCTTAAACTCCCAGAAAGCTTAAACTTACCCAGCTCATAATCAGAAATCAAAAGTGTCACTAAACAAAAAATCAACAAAAAATGGCAAAATATATACCAAAACTCAAATAGCCAAATCAGGAAAGTACTAAAAAAAACACCTAAATAAACCAAAAATACTACAGAATCAATCCTAAATCCACAAAATAAATTAGAAAAATTCAAAGCCTTAGGCATATACCTAATTAAAACAGGACTAATTAGTCGCATTTAAACCCAAAATAAAATAATATTAAAACCAAAACTACCTTATCAAACAACCACCCAACACACACGGCTCCCTTAGTTCGTCCCCCACCCACTCTTGGCATTCTTTCCAAATCTCAAAATTTCAAAATTACTATATAAGCAACCCGTAAAGCCCCCCCTCCTGGGTATCACAAACTCACTTTTCCCCTTTTTGGAAACACATTAAATGGCCTGGCCAGGCCCGTGTGCGACATACGCTTGCAGTCTGAAAGCGCACGTTAAATTTCCAATATAAGTAAGTAAGTAAGAGATTGTGAAGATTAAGCCCCCTCTTGGGTTGCACACACCACTTTCGCCCCTTTCGGAAACACATTAAATGGCCTGGCCGGGCCCGTGTGCGAAATACGCATCAGTCGGAAAGCGCATGTTAAATCTCCAAAGTAAGTAAGTAAGTAAGTGAGATTGAGAAGAAGGAAAAAAGAAAGGTTTACCCTTAGCCTAGCTAGGGTTAGGCTGGGTGCTCCGGGGCACCTAGACAACAACTACTACCACTATGTGCTGACCTGGCACATAGTGTCTTTTGTATGTATATATCTACATGAATAAAGTAAAACTGTATATACCGCAAGCCATCGTCTCCAAGTTGTCACTTCCTACTGAGAACCATACGTGAGCCCCTTGCATATACGAGAATGCAAATTATTCATTTATCAACGTCGGACCGACACGCGTTGTTAGAGTATTTGAACTGTATGGAACATTTAACTCACTAAGATATTTTTGCCCTATAATATACATCTAATAAGGTTGATGTATAGCCTCCAGACCTTGTCAGTGAACCATTTAAAGACTCTTGAATATTATATATGTTTATAATATGGGGTTATATCCTGCGGTCGATGAAGTATTTGAAAAGACGGACACTGTGGATGGGTTTTGATAATATCAAATAAGTGAAGTAACACATCAACTAGAGAAGGAGCATGATTCTCGAATTGTATTATGTAAAATGTATCGCAGAGCTGTAAATGCCCTTGATGAAGTTGACACTGCACTTATAGCAAATAGCAAGGGGCTTGGTGCAGCTGGTGTTGGTTTATTATCAACTATAATTGCTACACCTATCGTACTTGGAATGGAAGTAGCAGCTGGAGTCTCTGGACTGACAGGAATAGCTCTTAAACTTATTTCTTGCCAGATGCAAAAGAAAGCATTAAAACATAATAGTGTCTGTGTGCTGGCTGAATTGCATTGACAATTATATCTCAACAGCACTAACTGATTGCAAGATATCTGAGGAAAAGTTTCGTTTAGTGTTGTCAGAATTCACCAAATACAACATAATGAAACAGGATATTTGGTCAAATTCTCATAGGACCAGTGGGATTTGTGAAGACAAGCATAAAATGTTTAGGACAGGGGAGACAACAAGCACACCAAGTATTCAGTGCCAAAACCAGAGAACTGGTGGGAGATTAAGAATAAGTGTTTCCTCAATATAGGATGGCATCTTGATAAATATTGATGCTATGCATGACGATCATTGGATCACATCATTGATAAAACTTAAGACCTCCATGGAAGGATTGCCAGGACCTGGAACTGGTCCAGGGTGGAGTTGTCCTGTACCCCTATCATCTATAGTACTGCTATGTTGAAAATTTACACTACTTATAGTCATTGCTCATCCACTTTATTCAAAATGTAATGACACGTTTAGTTATAGGTAGGATTCAAACACATATGTTCCGATTTTCTCAAAATGCATTTTTGGCTCTGTAAACATCACTGAAATTGCCGGACAAGGAAGCTGAACTTTGGCATGTATGTTTTTCCTCATGATGACTTCATATAGTTTCTTTAAGTCCACAGTATTTATGCAGAAACACTGACAGTAACTATTGTTTAAACTATTGACTACTTACCCAGGTGCTCCACAGTTCATTGGAACTATTCAGTATATTTTTTCAAATGTAATTTATAAACAATTTATATGCAAACATAAATCAAATTCAGTCAAATGAGTCTCATTTCAAGATGATTAGGTTTACAGACTTTAATAAATTTGGCTCTAATTCAACTTGCAAACATGTATTTTGTTAGTTCCTTTCTGGTTAAATCAGTAGCCAAATTGGTCAGTCAGTATCAGTGATATATGTGGTCAAATGTCAGCTTGGCCTGATATGTGCTAGTTTCTTATGGACTGAAAACAATTTCAACTTGTTATTGGACAAAAAGTAAAAGACAAAGTCAAATTCAGTAGTTCAGTATTGCAATACATACCCACAGTTGAGCACAAATCTAGAATGTTGGTTGTAATGAGCAATTAAATACACATTTTATACATGTACAGTTTTCTTTGGGTAAGGATTTGATAGCAAAGAATGATATGGGATTTAAATTTATTTTTGTTGAAAAATATTTAGGTGGCGTGAAGGAACTGAAGGTGTTTGTGGACCTGGCTTTCATCTCAGCTGGGGAGGAACCGATGGAAATACACAAAGTCAACTGTTTCCACTCAGCAACCACTGGATATGCTCCACTGATCTTCAACACACCACAGACTGCAGACTATGCCACTTTCCTCAAGAACTGTAAAGCTGTTTTGCGGGAACTTGAAACAGACACAAAACTCCCAGACAAATTGGTAAGTTTGCAATCATTTATGGTTGTAGGCGATTCTTTGGTCCAAAATTGTGTTACACAACAATTGGTAACGTCATCGTAAGGGTGTTCAGGAGTTATGACCCATGATTCTTTGAGGGATGACTCACATATGTATTGTCTGTATTCTGTAGTGTCATCATCTCATTTATTGTATGAACTATTGATATTTGTAACCTTTATTGGGTTCAACTTTTTTAAAGCTTAGAAAACTTCTTAACTGAAAATAGATAGGTCCATGGTTAAATCTCACGACAGAGCTTACTCTTATTGAATTGAATGTGATAAGATATTCAAGAGGACAACTGTCATCTTTGTAGATGTTTTAGCTCTCCTGACTGACAGTAAAGGGAGCTTATATCCTAAGTGTGTGAATGTCAGATCTAGCGGTGAAGTTCATGCAATATTTGGCCCTCACTCTATGAATGTTCATGTTCATTGAACTCACACAAATTGAATGTCAATGTCCCTATTTTGTACCTTGAAGGATGTATACACATTTTTATTTAATATGTGTCTTCTTGTTTTCACTGACAGCCATACCAGCTGTTTCGGTGAGGACAAAATGTTCTCAAAATGAGAGATGACATAAGTGTGACAAATTGTTCGACAGTAACATCTTTTCTTGTTTGGTTACAACAAATAGATTTAATTAAATAATATTGCCATTAAATGAGAAATATCTGTTTATAACTACCTCTAAGTCAGTCACTGTGACAGTGTGTCACAATACATATACATGTACTTCATGTACAGGACATCAAAATGGCCAACATGGTCAATCTGACGGGAGATTTCCAAAGTGGTCAGTGAACCTGTGGTGATAAGTGTTTGTCATCATTGATCAATTGCCTACTCCTTCAGAGGTGATTATAAAGATGTGTTGACTAGATATAGAATTAAATTTATAGATTGCTGTAGAGTTTTGATGACTGTCTCTGTCAGTCCAGGCATTGATGGAGTCGATATTTTGGATGTGCATTACTTCATTTTGTTCACTAGAAACGGTCGTAGTGAGGATATTTGATCAAACACAGACTTTTTCCAATGTATGCAAAACGTTGAGTTTTAAGTTTAAAGTATCTAAGGTCTTTTTCTTATTAGTTGTTTCATGGATTTTTTCCTCAAGATCTGAAATTGGTGGTTAAAATGAAAAAAATAAAATTTTAAACTTATCCTATCTCACACTATGCATTTCTTCCTTTTCTTTCCATCCTTGTGTGGAAACGTCCTTAAACAAAGTTTGCAGCTTCTGAAACCATTTTGCCAGAACACCCCTTGCATTGCCATGGTCACCACATAAACTCATGCACCGTGACATAAGTGGCTTGATCACCTGACGCTTTATGCCACATCATTCTTTTTCCCTTCCCCTCCGAGTGGAGACGTGTTATCAGTAGAGAATACATTTTTTGTTTCCTCTTGTATATTTTCAACATCTACACCCTGAGATTGATCAGAGTAATTATGCCCATCCTGTAAAAGTGTTGCTACATTTTACACCTTGCGATCCACATGAACTTTGTGGCTACTGGTCACTGCTGTTCCTGATGAGCACATCTCTCGGAGGAAGCCTTCCAACAACTATTGGCGTATATGTCATACACGCTCTGTCGATCAAAGTAATGTATGCAGAACACGGACTGCCTTTATTTCTAAATCATGTCACTATAAAACCAGCTGTCACATAGTCAGTCAAGGCGATTGTCTAACAGCATCCTACATCTACCAATGCATCACTTTTGGTAGAAGATGGCATTGTTTCAGACAGCTTTCTCCACAGCAATTTTCCTGCCAAGACCTAGTTGGAGTCAAGTACCAAGGCACTTGTATCACCGCCAACATCTATAACCTACGTCTAAGACGTTCCTACTGGGACTACAGCGATGGCTACAACCCTCTCGGTGCTCCCCGTCCCTCAGATGCTAGTCACCTATCATCCCCTGCTCCCGACGGGAGGATGTAGTTTAGTTCATAGAAGTCATCCCATTACAGACTACATGCAGTCTCTCCCCTTTACTATTGACCAGGGCAGGGATTAGAAGCTCGTATTCGACCTCCCTTTCACCTTAAAAGATAAAAAAAAATTCTCACATTTTTTTGGCAAATGTAGGTATTGTTTATGCGCTGGTGATGTGCTTCATTCCAATTCGCCTTATAGATGGGGTATATAAATTAGCATCAATTTTGAAGGCTTTTAAAGGGAGGGTCGCTTTATAGACGGCACTATTGAAAATACAGTAGCTAATGATTTCACGATGAATAAACTTCAGCTCACTTTGAGTGTGCCTGGTGAGCAACAGTGACTTGGTGCTATTTGCTGAATTACTTGTTCGTTTTACCATGCATAATTGTGACATCTGATAAGCAGTCAGAATATGATATTTCCAAGAACGCATGTTACCTTTTGTTGTGTATTTAGATTATTGGCATGACTTGGACCATCTGTAGTAAGGTCTGTTGCTGCAATAGCATTCATGATGAATATGTTATTTTGGCCTCAGAAAGTATTCATGTATCAAAGCAGTGTATCAACAGTCCGCAAGTCCAAGTCTATTGGCAATGTGAAATTATGCAAAGACTAGTTGTTTCCGAAAACAGTAAGGAAATCTGTGCACCACTACCATTATCTATGGCAGAAATTGTGTTGATGCCGCATTTTAGCATGTTCACGTAATCATTTTGACATAATGTTGCAGATATTCCAGAAATATATTTGTTACACAGATTGACGCCAATCTTCATCTTACATGGCTAAAGGAGGTAAAAGCGTCACATGGATCAGTGGAAGTCACATCCCTCTCACAGGCAAGAATGATCAACTCCCAGGGTGTATACAGGATTGGCAACCTACTGAATATAAAGAATGTGTCTGATCTGGTAAATAAACATTGATCTCTGGAAAAAAATGTAAATTTATGTGAATAAAACCTCTAGTCTACCCAAAGCCTATACTCCTTTAAGTATTGTGGCAACAGCAATGTACTAAGGGACACTGGTGACAATTTTCCTTGGTTATTGTTTTTGTCCGATGGTTACCCAGATGATACCCCAGAAATTGTGACAAGTTAGCAACCAGTACCATGCCCATCGTAAGCACATTTGTCAATTTTATTAAAAGTATAAGGGTGTTTGATCATATTGACCAACCAAATGAAATAATTTTGATAAGTCACTTGATTTTTGGTCGCACTATTTTGACGCAAGCTAAATATTTCACATGAGCATTGCTTATTTTATTATGTATATATGTTATAGTCAGTGTGTTAAATGACTAAAATTTTCACTTAGGCAATTTATTAAATACATAAATGTTCAGTGTTTTTTTCATGACTGAAAAATCTGTCCATCTAGTTTATGATGACATTAAAAGTGACTGAAAATGATAGGATTAAATGAAAACAAAAGTCAAAGTACATTTCTATATATTTTGGCTGAAATATTTAGACATTTTATAAATTGCCTGAGTAAATCACATTTTACTCATTGACTGTAACATATACACGCCTTTCCAAAGAAAAGGCTTGTGAAAACAATGACAATGTTGTCTGTCTCACATCAAAGAACTTCCCAATGACAACATAGAGGAACAAGAATGATTCTGTTTAATGCTACAGCAAATTATTGAAATCAAAATGCAAATATTGTAATTACAACCTACCAGAGTTTTATGTATAATATTAGGCAATTACCTTGTTCAAGGAATGTATCCATAAATATCCACATAAAGGTACATATTTCTGCAGCTGTATTTTGGCTTCAGTCACACTAACTAAATTTTATCGGTCCAACCAACCGATCAGCCGACTGACCAGCTTGGTATAAACTTGCAAGCTTTTCCCTACCATGATACACGGGCAACAAGATCTTCACTTGGGTCTCAGCAGGGTACGAAAAGGCCATACTCCCCAGCAAAGACACTGTACGGTTGCAGCATGGACAGCAACCCAGCCGACCGTCCAGCCGACAGCCCAGCCGACCGTTAGGACACCGTAGGGTTACAGCACAACCTCCATGCCGATCGTCATACCATATGATTTACATCAACTGACCGTACCCAAATCAGCCGCTAGGACCACACGGGAGCGTCCAACTGACCGCTCAGCTGACCAAGATGATATTTCTGTACGTGCAGCCATCACAAGATGCACAGATTTAATCATACCAGAATCCTGGCACCAGAGGAAGACGAACTACAAGGGGAAGACGTGGCGGACTATTATGATTATCCACCCCACCTGCACCCCCAACCCCACCCCACCCCCAGCAGCTAAGCACGGTCACTCTAAGGCGGAAGTGGAGTTTTATGAAGAGATTAGTCAGGCTGACAACTTGGAGAGATATACTTTTGTAGAACTCATTGAGGAGTTATATCACCTCATCCCTGTAGTCCAACCACCTAGAAAATTCGCCACCTAAGATGCCGGAATTTGGGGGATGTCATGCTCCTACATCATATCAACACATTCACCAGACATTGCCCTTGGCTGAGTTATGACCAGATGTTGGAAAGTCTATTCGAGCTCAGACATTCCAAGCATCAACTATCAGCCTAGCTGCCAAGACACATGGATCTTCCCACCCCCACTCACTCAGACATTATAGACCCTTTCAACCTGGTTATGTCTTTGGACTGCAATTATACCTTAGTCTTTCTAAATAATGCTGACTCCAGGACCATTGGGAAAATTGGAAGCAAGTTACGCCTGACTGCTGGATTGTAGACGTCGTGGCTCACGAATACAAGCTGCATTTCAAGAAACATCCTATCTTGAAGACTCAAGCTGTCAGACGCAGATTTCATCTAGTCAGAGCCAAGCTAGTGGCAGCAAGAGATCGGGCTGTCAGGAAGCTACTTAAGAAGCAAGCCATTCAGAGACTAGTTGAGACCAAATTCTCCGGTATTCCTAGTTCCTGAAGAAGAAAACAAGACATGAGAATGATAAGCGACCTAAAAACACTAAACTGGGTCATCGTTCACAACACCGGACCAGTCGTCAATTTTTTCATGGGGATCAACTTGCCCCTACACTGGCAACATTACAGTTCCTACTCAGAACTCGGACACACCTCTGGTCTGTCAACCACAGGGTTCACAGAGGATTGGCTGTGTGTGGAGCTTGAACCTAGTCGACTCAGCATACGTGATTACAGTTTACTGCACAGGAAGAATTACATGTCATGTGTCAAGACTGACTGGTCAATCAGGTCAACTGACCTAGTGGAATCTGTGCAGTATATTTGTACAGACTGACTTACATGATTGCTTATGCATAACACTGCAACCACTCGACCAGACGCCTGTCGCTGTACATCATGTAGCTGATTCACAACTACAGTGGACATCCGATGCCTGCACGTGCAGTGAGTGAGACACCACACACCATCATCCCCTGATATAACAATGGGAACGCTTATGTGAAGCTAGAGGGATGGAAACGATATGTACAGTACGATCATTCAGACCAAGAAATATTTTTACATATTCAACCCGTCTTACACGATGCATTGTTGAATTCTTGCCAGGGCTACTCCTCGGCACAGGACTGGTGCGCCTATACGTCTACCAGGGATTTGGCATTGGTTGGCTGACAACACATTTTTCCGTGTTTCGTCATGTCCCGACATGGGCGGAGACTTGACTGAAGTGGACAAGCTGACTCCATCAGTTGTCGTATGGAAGCGAGACATATTCCCATCAAACTCATGGACCTTACATCTCCAGATCTTTGCTTGGATAACCATGTTATGGGACACATCACACCTAGATCTATTTGCCACCTACAAGAACAATCAACTCCGGTTTATGACAGCCCAGTTCCCGTCTCAAGGGCTCACCAGATTGATGCGCTATTGATGGATTGGATGGATCTATTTGCATAGGCATTCCCAACATGGTCTCTCCAAGACAAGGTCATCCACACGTAGGAGGTGACGGTTTGCATGATAATTCTGATAGCACCAATCTAGAGCAGCAGAACAGGGTCCCCCAGATAATTAAGTATACTAATGGAAGAACCTCTCCAGTTACCTATCCGTCGAGATCTGTTATGACAGCACAGGCCTAACATTTCTACGACAATCTACCCAGCCTACATCTAACCGCCTGGAAGTTATCACGCAAAAGATGCAGACATCCGGGTACTCTGGATTTGCCTCTGAAGCTGTGGCAAGATCATGGAGACCTTCATCCTCCCTTATATATGACAACAGATGGGATAAGTTCATCCAGTAGGGAAGACGACAAGGGATTATACCTAATACAATATCCATCCCTGTGATAGCAAATTTTTCTACAACATCTACATCAGGAAAATCATTTCTGTCATGGGATGATAGAAGGTTACAGATCTGCCAACATGACGGACTATCAATTGGAAACCATCCTATTCTAAACAGACTAATCGTCCCAGGGCTTGGTGTCGCTTATTTCTTGTCAATCTTGGCACGTGGTAGCAATTCAATAATGAAGTAATGTTATCCGATCTTGGTGGATTTTTATAGAGCAAGAGATGGGGGAATGCATGTGCATTTCAATTTGCACGGAACTCACGTGCATCGGGTTACCATGGCTGTTGCCGTGATGCATTTGGGCGATCGGTTTAATTGTCATCTGCATTGTTTTTTTATCATCAAATTTCATTTTTCCAGACAAGGTAATGTTAAATTTTAGAAACTTTGACAAAAATTACCCAGATATTTTTCATGCAATGTTACTTGGGGTGACATTTCTTTTGCGGTTCAGTATATATACATACATACATACATACATACATACATACATACATACATACATACATACATACATACATACATACATACATACATACATACATACATACATACATACATACACTTCCGGTTTGTCTCCTGGTTGTCCTTGCCTGCTTGGCCCCCCTCACAAGTTTGTGGTTGATGGCTGCTCTTCTCTTGGGAGGCATCATGAAAAGATGAAATGTGCCTTGGGTGAACTTAGGGAGTGGAGTGAAACAGTTCAGATACAATGAGCAATGAAATTGATGGTATTTAAAGCGATTGTGAACAAAGCAAAATAAACAACGTGAAAGCGATTAGATCCTGGATGACGATTGTGGTCCCCCCAGTGCATGAACTATTGCCCCATGCAGGCACGGTACAGGCTTGGGGGAGATTTAACTGCAGGGCTGATTGAGTTACAGCAGTAATTTGCCTATGGTTTGGATATGTTCAATAAAGCCATTCTGTAGTTTTTACTAAATGCAAATATTTTTCATGCATTTAATGGTTATATTATTTGAAAACTTAGTTATGTATGACATGTGATGAAAATCGTGTGTTATCAATGAAAGAATACTGTGACTTACTTTTATCTTTTTTGGATATATTGAATTCCAGCATCATATTTGGTTTTAATGTGTTATAGCTTTTTGGAATGTTCTTTAGATACTGATATTGAAGGTCTAATTCACTGTCAATGTAATACTATGTTCAAGAAGTGTCCTTGATGTAGTAGGATAAAACTTGATGCATATCATCCTGAGAGTGGAGCACTGAAATGGTTAAATTTTGAGCCCCTTCATTTATAGACAGACTCGCTGAAATGAGCAATCATAAGTAGCTCTGCTTGTTTGTGAACTAAACCAATCCCCTGTGTTTGTATGACATGGCAGTAAGAAACCAAAAATATTTAAACCATATTCGTATTTTATCAATTGCTTGCTGAGGTCTTCAAATAATACAATGTGAGTTTGATCCCTGCTTGTGACACATGTTTCATTACAAAATTTGCAATCATTCACTTTAGTGTCAAAGAAATGAAATATAAAATAAAAGAGAGATCCCTAATATTTCGAAGAATAAATTATTTGAAATGCTGGTTCAAAATAATGATTAATTGACACCAAACTACATTATTTCTCAGGAATGGACAGTTTGTTGTCAATTCTATCAACTTAATTGCTGAATCCAAATGGTCAGTGATTAATATTTCAGGACTGTCCTGTTGACATTTCACAAAATTTGAGTCATTCAGCAAAAGGGCTTGCTACCCGTAACTTTTTGTCATGTAATGCAGACTTCTTTCATTTTTTGTTTTCATTCTCCAAACAATATCTTATGACCACTAAGTGTAATTGTAAGGTTACTTGATTTTTAGTTAACACTAGATTTAATTCTCAACAAATATTGAAGGATAAAGATTTGTTGTGAGTGAATTAATATTTTGATTTAAACTTGATCACATGAATAGATGTATCATTGTAACAAGGGCATGAGAAAGTATTTGTGAAGTTTTCATACATGTTACATTCCAGTTCTTGAACAATGTCATCAGTCTTCACTTGTCTACTGACAATGTAGACACTGAAATGACCTTGGAGCAGACACAAGACAACCTGTCCCGGAAGTACAGCTTTGACCAGTTGGTGGATCTTCAAAGCAGACTGATGCTGGTGGCTGGCCAGGCAGATAAGGGCAAAGAAAATGTCGACGAATTCATCATGGTAATATCAAGTCAAAACATGCATTAAAGTAAAACAAGAGATAAAGTGAAAAATAGGAGACAATTAGTATTTGTTGTTTGCTTTATGAGTTTATGGTAAGGGATGATCGATAGTGTATTCATACAAACAATGCATGTGTGATTGAAAATTACTTCATCACTTTTTTTACTTTTTTCAGATGCTTGATGGAATAGTACGTTTGGCCAAAACTTACATCCGACTTTGCAGTGATGGCTGTGTATTGTTTGAATGTTGGAAAGGAGAATTTATGTGTGGCACTGACAGAAAGGTTTGCTCAGTTTTAGAATTTGGACATGATGAAGCAAGTGAAACATTGAAAGGTCATTGTGGCAAGGAAAATGTTACAGACTTTGTCCTTGCCCTTGCAAAACAATTTGAGGACTTCCATGATGAATGGATGAACTGTGTCAGTGACAAGAGAGATGACTATTTGGAGCTGAACTTCTACACCATAGAGCAATTGGTGTTCCTCCAGAGAGAACTCATCAAACTAGGCACAGAGGAGGAACCTTCCGTTCATGTGTACTCAATGTTGTCTCTGATCAAGCCTGACTGTACCCAAGCAGATCTCACTGATGCCATGCAAACAGCAAAACATGTTGTCTTTGCTCAGGAGGAAGACAGTCAACAAGAATTGTCAGTTGAGGAGACTTTGGAAAAATGTGATCCTAAACAAGCCTTCATTAATGCCATGCTTGACACAAACTTCTCAGAGAGTTTGGCAGAACGTGCCCTTGAGGCCATTGGTCCTGATGATGTTAACAGTGGTAGGTTATACTTACCTTCTTTAAAGTCTCTTTAGTAGGATTACAAACAGGTTTATGTCACATCAGCCATACTGACAAAATAATTTATGGCCATTACTCAGCCATTTTTGCTCAAACTGTAATGAAATTTGGAATATGCTATAGCTGGTGGTGGGAATCAACATGTCTCTAGTATGGTAAACATCATCTACTCATGGGGTGCACGGGTGGCCCAGTCGTCTAAGGTGCCACGATTCACAGAGTTGCGTCCCTTGTGTACGCCAGAAACCTTTATTGTGGGTTCGAATCCCGGTTTGCCCTAATTATGTTTCTAGGTTTGTCAGCACCATACCCATGCTCATGGGTTTCACTGAAGTGGTAAACGTCTGAGACCTCATCACCTCAGGCTTTCCTCTCACATTAAACTGACACACAGTGATATAACTGGAATAATGTTAAAAGTGACGTTAAACCCAACTCACTCACTCAAGTGAAAATACTTGTTACCCACAGTTGAAGTGTTACTTGACACTTACTGACCAAATCCTAGATGCGAGACTGTAGCAAAATATATTTATTTATCCTTAAGCTTAAATCTTCTTGTGACTAATTTTGATGATTCTGATCTACAGGTGTAGCTTGGTGTTTTGAACACCAAGAAGATTTTCTAGGAGAGGATGAGGTACCAGAGATTTGTGACGAGACATTTAGTGGCTGGGAGTTTGAGCAACATTCATTTTCATCAAAAGCATCATATTGGGTTAAGAAAACAGAAATTTATACAAGGTAATTAAAGAATTATTACCATAGGTTTGTTTTACCTTTTCTGTTTTTGACAGTCAACTTTAAAAATATGCATTCACGATGATTAAGCTGTGTGTTTTTTTCATTGCTCAGTGGACACACTAATATTCACAACTTGTTAATCAAAATATGTAAGTTTATGATTACCAATATGTCATCCAAAGTCAAATTTTAGCATAATGCAAAGATTGGTAAGCTGTGATCAGTCGGTGCACCACTATAATATACCACATTTTTAGCTTTTTTGTCATATATAAAAATTCCATACCATAATATGTTTTATTACAATTATCAAATTAAACAAACCAACAGGTATTAATTTATAAAAAAAAGTGACCTTCTGTACCTTTAGTTCTCTGATTTATGCATATAATTGTTTGATCCAAACATTTCTATTTTCATCCCAAGAATTTATATTGTTTCATATTTCTTTGCCACAGATTTATTCATTTATTTTTTACAAATGATTTACTCCATCATTATTTACTCAATTACATTATGTTCCTCCATCACCAATGAATACCGGTACATAGGGTGCAGACCATACACATCACAAAAATAATTTTCTCACTTGGCTATGTGTGCAAAATGTGTCGTAGCCATTTGGTTGTCCTACATATTGCCTCAATGTCAGGCAATGGTAGGGTTTGCACAATGTCTATGTATGGAGTAGAATTCATTTGACATTCATGGGTTGCAAAATAGCCTCATGGCATCAGCTTACTGAAATTGGATCACTGTATGTATTTGTGGGTGATGGAGGAAGGAAGCACATTGATGATGGATTCACTCATACACAAGGTTTTACTTGATTCAAAATATTGTATCTTATATGCATACAAATGCATAAAACTGAGTCCCATGTAGCATGCATATTAAATTTCAACAAAGATATCCAGTTTGATTAGAAATACTATAAAAGTTCTTGCTGTCCATTTACATGTTTCTTTCATCTGTGAAGAGTGTAGGGCTTCAGAGCAGGAGTTTGTTATGACCATATTTAATCCCATTTGATTCTTTTCTCCGACAAGGGTTTAGTATCATGTGCCTTGATGCCAATGTGCCTACAACAACATGTGTAGGCATGTTGGAATATTCTTCAACATCCCTTTCTATACCCAGGGATTGATAGTACCAATTAAAGGAACAGCTTTTCCATGTACAATATAAAAATGAAGTTACAGAAAAAGATATTTCAAATTCATTTTATTCCACTAATAACAGTAACAAAACATGCCTCAGTTTCCACAAGTTGACACAAGCTTTATTGACAAAGTTCACTGACAGAAGGTCATAGTTACTGTAGCTTGATCAAATGGTCAGTTGCATTGAGATGCAGCAGTGCTTTTTTCTTCCACTTTTGAAATGCCCCTTTAGGTGCATCAGACGCTGGTCAAGGTCACGGTAGATACGTGGTTTCCTCCTAGTGCAGCTCCATGATCCAGTTGGAACGTGCATCATTGTCCACCCAAGTGGTAGTCACATAATTGCTGAACTCTTCAATGTTTTGTCCTTGTGGTCCCTCGTTCCTGACATCTAACTATAAGGCATCTTGAACAAGCTCTAGATGTAGGAGAGTCAGTGCAGTAGTTCTTTGAATGTGGCTTTGAACTTGAGGATTGTCCTTGTATTCTCAGGAATGTCCTCTCTCTGACATGTCGCCACGAAGCCTGGGTGTACTGAAAAAAGCCATAGTGCTGCATCTACCCTTGCACCCCTTCTGTTCACATTTCCAATGCATGGCAACTTTTACATTCAGTCAATATCTGTAATCTTTGTGAAGAACTTGCTGACCTCCTTGTTGCGATGTGATTAACTCTGCTGTCTGTAGCTTTGCCATTGCTAAGTGCTGACATTTTCACAGACCATCATAAATACCCATGCAGTTTCAAAGGTTGAGAAGCCAGGGAGTTTTCATAATGCAATTATTTGCATTGAGAAATAGGGTTCCTGTTTGTACTATTTTGGAGTACACAGTCGGTGTGAAAGAAAATGCCAGTATATACATTAAAGAAGGAACATGGGTGAGAAAGACAATACATCAGACTAAGCTGTTGTAGTTATAGATCATTAGCAGTGAATACTATATATAATATATTGTACATTTGAGGTGATCAGGTGATCAGAATATCATCAACATGCCACTTTCAGTTAAAAGTAAAATATTTTGATATTGTTTAATGTGTAGGCACATTGGGAGTAAACATACTAAGGAAATGTTCATATTTTGCGGGTAAGTAAAAAAACTACTGGTGCATGAATACACAAACACTGAACCATAAAATGTTTTGATAAGAGTGTCGGCCCATTGGGAACATACCCTGACAAGATCTGACAAACAGGCCTTCGGTCACATTGGTGAACTTTTTAATTTGCCAAACAGCATGGAGGTTTCTAACTTCTCTGTACAAGCAAGAGCATATTTGATTTCTATATCTCAAAACCTGGCTAAGTTGGCAGTTTTGAATGTTATGTTGTTCATAATTTACACCCAGTTGTCTCTCTGTTAACGATGAAAGAATATAATTTTGCTGTTGTTTCATTTCTCCTTCATGATCCATTGCTGATGCTGTCCGTACAGTGCTGTCCAAGGTTGTCATTTTTTACAATGAAGTCAAAATGTTTTACAAATCTGAATTTTGATTGGCTCAGGAACTCATGAATCCCAATTATGCTTACGTTTTACTTAAGATGACTTCAGAGTTAGATCTTGACAGAGAAAGGGGTTTATAAGATATGATATTAATGAGATTAGGTGTCCCAAAAAAGTCTTTGGAAGTAAAATGTGTCACGTGTTGCCTGCCTGTGTACCTCAATAGGTCACTTGGTCACCATCCCCAATAATTCCAGAGAGTCCCCAAGACTCACAAATAGATAAACCAAGGCAAACTCTAATGTCTATTGTCAGAAATGATGTCACTGTACAAGATATGACTTCCAACCTGAGGTCAGTGTGGGACGCATTCCTGGAAGCTGTATCATCCAGTGTAGCAGATTATCTCAGTCTGGAACATCTGGGCATCATCCTCAGACAGTTGGCACAAACAGGTATACCTCACTAAATTACAGCAAAGCACCTGAAGATAAGTGTACTAATCTCTAAAAACAGCCAAGTTCCTGGGAAACTGCAAAAAATGCTTAAGTTGAATCTAAGTGTATGAATTTCTACAATATATCAGACTATATGTTGTACATTTGATTAAGTGTAATGTTGTTACGTTCACTTAAACACTGTTGCAGATCAGCGTAAGTTCAACAGGACTATTCCACTACAGCAAAAGGCAGGAATTCCGAACTTGATAGTGTGCCCCCAAGGTGAGGCAAAAGTCTTATTGAATTGATTGTAAAAAATGTTTATAATTCATTGTTATGATTCAATGTTATTAAGCATCCCAAATATAAATAGGGATGCTTTAAGGTTTGTTAGAACTAGACCACTGTTAATACACTTTATTTATAAACATAGAGGTTCCAGGACATATGAGTCAGAGGGATATCATAAGTATGTCTCCCATACAGCCCAGGGGAATGTTGTTTTGAAACATTGATCAGTCTTGTCAAAGGTAAAACTTGTTCGTAAGGTCATGGCCCTGTATAGTTATTCAAGAAATATTATCTTTAGTTCAGTAAAACTTCTCATCCTTGCGTTAAGCCTGTGATCAGTGATGGTAATTTTCTCCAAAACCTAAAGGGCCAGAGTCTGAAGCTTGGTGGGTGAGATGGTCACCTGATGTAGTAGTAGTAGTAAAGTTTGTCCATTGAAATCAAATGTGGCTGATTGTAATAGATTCCGCTCCCTAATGTACATCGAACATTCTCATACAATGTATGCTCCCTCTTGTAACAGCATGGCGATCAGCAAATGTGCATGCCAACCTTATGAACTATATAAACTGTTCTAAAGACTGACAGTGTTTGTTATGTGGAGTTACCACACTGATAGCAGCCATATTGGATAATTAAACAAAATTGTGAGTCATGTGTTGTAATAAGCACCTCCTCTGGTCACATCCATGTGATTCTCTTAAATTTTATCCGAAATATGTTTTGTCTCTGTAAACATCTCCTCTGAAATGATCAAACTGAGGAAGCTGAACTTTGGCGTGTATGTTTCTTCTTATGATGACATTATATTTTGTTCAAATCATAAGGATTTCAGTGTGTTATTTGTGAAACAATTAGATAAGTTATTTGATGTTTAAGAATTATTCTCGTCACAAGGAATATTATTAGGCTCGGAGTTGAAACATTGTGTGAAGTAAATTTAACTGTTGTGTATTGCAATAATATTCTACAATAGTACATTCTTCATTGCAGATATCAAAACATTTTGGATAATTAGTTGAATGTCTCATAAATGTTATTTTGATACTTTATCCTCAGTAATTATGCAGAAAATGTTGAATTAGAATGCTGACAGAAACTTGCATAAAGTGGCTGTCTTTTTGACATTTTAAACTTTTGACTACATATCCTAGTGAGCTACAGTGATGTGTCACTTTTCTTTTTATTGTCTACCTATGTGTTCAAAAGCTTGTGTTGAAGAGGAGAAAGGTTTAAAATTAGATTTGCCTCCTGAATTAGACAAGAATTTAACCTGATAATAATAATCATTCCAGACATAGCCAAGAAATTTAGCATTTTAAATGTATAAAAAATTTAATTTGACAGCAAATGATTCAAGTCAATATTTAGACTGAGAAAGTATCATTAAGTTAAAACCATATTTTGCTTTCTGCTCTTAAGTTAACCACTTTTGCAATCACTGTATAGTTTGTACATCCTATTTGCAGCTGATATGCTGAACACTGTTGTATACATGTACAAACACTCAGAGGATGAGCCACTTCCTCAACCAGATGAAGTCCTTCTGTGCACTCCACAAACTACCTTTGACCAGGTAATGCTCAATCATATCTGTGTAGATAGATTGTCCTCTGTTATTCTGCATTTCAGATTCTCAGAACTTTGGATACCTTTCATAATGTGTCACCTCTGCCCTCATATATATGTACTGTATTTGCCATATAAAGCATTTGCCATATAAAAGTCTGTTTGGCCACCATTCAGTGTCTGACGTGTGTTGTAGACATGTCTCAGAAACCATTGGACAATGTAGGTGAAAGTTTTCTATTAAGCAATATTGAAAAAGCTATTTAATGCTGTTATGGAAATTTGATATTTGTTTTAATACACATGTTCCATTTTTTTCACCCATTATTTTGAATTTTGACCTTGTTTTGACTATGCTGTCTAAGTTCTCTCAAAAAGCCTATTTGGCTCTGTAAATATCTTCTTTTGTGAAATTGCCAGCATGAGGGAGCTTTGGCATGTATGTTTCTTCTTATGATGACATAGGTTGTTGTTTTTTTCTTCAAATTATTAGATTTTGGTGTTAGTTTTAAGTCCTTGGTATTTATGCAGAAATTTTTTGAATATCAATGCTGACAGAAACTTTTTTTATTGTCTGTCTTTGTTGATGTTTTTAATGGTTGACTACACATCCAGGTGAGCTATAGTGCTGTGGAACTATTCAGTATGTTTAAACAGATGTATATTACAGACACTTCATATATAAACATCAGTCTAATTCAGTAATGACTAATATAGACCCACAAGTCAAGTATAGAGCATGTACAAATTACTGAAATAAACAGAATGCAAACTCAATGTCACTGGTATTTTGTCACAGAATTTTAACACATTTATTTTGTAAAAGTCAATTGTAACAAAGAACTACCGTGTAGGCTTTAGCCCTTTGATCAAGACAGTTCTCAATCATACTAAAATGGAATAACCTGACTACCCTTAAAACAAGAATGAACTGACCCTGTAACCTGATTACGCAGTGAGAGTAATATACATGTATACTGAACAACAAAAGTTCCTGTGACATTTTGATGCAAAGTTATGTTTTTTACCAAATCTGAAACAATTTCGGTTTGCAACAGATAAAAGACTCCTGTAAGTGTTCAAATGGTTTAATTTGCCATACTGACTTCAGAAAATGCGTGATTTCATAAAAAACATGAACATGCCAAAATGTCAATTTACAAATCAATAGCATGTGTGTCCACCTCTGGTTGCGATGCAAGCAACAAATCTTCGCCTCAAGGAATGGACCAGGCGTCGCACAAAGTCCTGTGGGATATCGTCAAAGGCGTCTATCCATCTCATACCACATGCTAGATTGGTGAGAGATTAGGGGAGTGAGCCGGCCATGGTACGACACTCACATTGTTTTGTTGAAGGGAGCCTGAACAAGCCGTGCAATATGAGGCCGGGCGTTGTCATGTTGCCACCCCCGAGCTGATCTTCTTCCACAATGATTGCCGTAACGTTCACCTCGACGTCGGTACACTCGAATCCGAATTTGTGAAGATACTCGTCAAAGGCAAGGGATGTTTCTTGCAGTCACTGTTGCTGGCTGGAATTGATTTCGTAGTTGTGTTGTTCGAATCCAGTTGACTTGTTGATTATTGGTTACGCGTTGCCTGCCACTCTGAGGATGGTCTCTGACTGCATTCATCTGTTGCCAAGGTTACCATAAACACCAAATTGACTCGATGCTGCTTCAAGCATACCAATGGCTGGCAGATGCTCATTTTCAGACAGGCGTGGCATTTCTTAATGTTGAATAAATGCGTAATTTTGTTGTTTTTCTGAGTGGTTGTTGTCAGCACGATGCTAAACAATGCACATGTTTTTATACCCATTCTTGGGTAGTGAAATGCATAGGGCTTGCATAAAAGTCAACTTTTGCATGGAATGCATGCTTTTCTGTAGCAGTTGCATTTTTGTGACTTTATTCCATACATGTACTACAATATTGAAAACAAAACTTTACTTGTTACACTAAAATATTGGTGTCACAGGAACTTTTGTTGTTGAGTATACATGTACCTGAGACAGAGATTTTGACTTACAACTAATTATAACACTTGTTGTAACAAGCCATAGTCTGTTGAACAACCCTATATACACTGTAGTAAAACCTGGTTGGTAGAGATATATATAATTAAATAACGCGACAAATCCCTTTCCACATCCAAAAGAAATCTCCGCAATCAGTCAATTGTACAATTCAGACTATATCATGAGCAAATGTTTATGAATCACCATCAAATAGTAATGATAACAGGTGTTTGCGAAAATGTGAGCATTTCCTACCTCATCGGTTGCACCCATCACAAACCCATGCAAAGTCAAGTCAATTGTTCACCTGAAAAAGCACAGGAACATATGGTACAAGTCAAAATAGGGAATTGCATCAGACGTCACTGATGTATCAGATTTGGAAATGTCCTCCACATGTCTACCATAAAATGTTTTGAAAGCTTTACTGGGGCCTTGAATATTGTAACCCTGATTAAACAACTTCTGAGCAAGAGTATAGCGCTCTTTGAATTCTTTGTTGAAAGACAATGCTTTATTGTATCTCAAAAGTTGTGAAATGTAAACACTAAAGGCATCAGCTGCTGGAATATTGCTCGACATGAAGGGAATGTTGACTATTGGAAAGTTGAAGTCATCCCTCTTGTCATACAGTCTTGTGGAGAGTGTTTTCTCACTCTTAATCTTTATGCATCGATCTAAATATGAAACAGATGAGGCGGTCTCACTGGTCTTCTCTATTCCCAGTTCAGGTGGGTAAATCAGTGGAAGGGAATTGGCTAATTGATTGTTATTGAACGGTATCAGATCTTCAAATTACTTGAAGCTTAAGTTAAACTTCTTGGCGAAATTACCTTGTTTTGACTTTGATAATCTGAGCAGAAATTCCGATTCATATGCATAAACGAGTACCCCAAAATTGTATGTAGATGTTATCAATGAGGAAGTCCAGCATTTCACATATTGTTTGCTTAGTAAACTTCAGATGGCATTTGCTTTCATAATTCACAAATTGTCCTGAACCTCTGAATATAGATATGTAACTACATGTATATCTATGGTCACCACGTTTTTTCTTAAGTTTGTCATGTGGGATAGTGATGTACAAAGTTGAAAAATCAAATGTTTTGACAGAATGGAAGTTGGTTCTTTTCTGAGATTGCAAAAAGTGAAGCAAGAAAAAATGTTTGAATTTATTTCTGTTACAATACTTGAGACCTATATGTTTTTTTGTTTGCACATATAAATGAAAAGCATCTTGATGGGTCCCATTTTACAGGTTGACATCTTCCTGCGGCGAGCCTTCTTCAGCAACCCTGGCAAGTTGTATACAATGGCCAATGCTGATTTGCTGCAGTATGAAATAGAGGAGAGGGCAGAGAAGAAGCTAAAGGAGTATGCAAACAGAATAGAAGGTACAAAATTGTGGTGTGCTTAGGAACATGTTGTATAAGTTATAATTTCACTTGCACAATCCTGAGACTTGCAAGGTGCTGCTGCTGCATCCTAAGAGGTTCTGTTTTGTAAGTTCAAGGTCACTGTCAAAGTCACAACCAAAAGTGCTACCTCACACCCATGGCCACTTGATACACAAAGATAGCATAGGCTCCCAGCTTGCCTATATAGGGAAAAGAAACACTGACCTTTGGAGATACCATCCTCCAATTACTGTAAAACAAGTGCCAGGGCATGCAACAAATTGCTGTCCTTGACCGTGCACAAGTCGTTGGAGCCCAGCTAGGTGAGTGATGAGGGCTCTGGGTCTGCGCTGTGTCGCCTTGACCTGTACATCTAAATCGGTGTTCAGCTCTGTCCACCTCATTCCACCTCTTGCCAGCCATAGCATCCTTGATTGGTCCGGACTGGTGCCCTTCAGCAGCAATATCCTGCCGTGCAATGGCCATGTAGCTGGAGCCCACCATCCAAACTGTAAACGATAAGAAGTATAGTAAATATTGAAATTAGTTGGGTAGCATTGAATTCATTGGAAACTATGTAGGAATTTTAACAATCAGACTTCCACCTGCCATATTGCTGTTTGAGGTGCATTAGACCATTAGATTTATTATATGTACACATCTAGCACGGCATGTACAATTTATTTCTTACATCTAACCTTCATTGATGTATTTATTGTAATATGTCCTATGTGTAATGGAGCGGTATTAACATAAGCGCTTCACGTTTTTACCAATCCATTTTCACACTTTTGTGAAAATAAATATGTTTAAACCATAGACCATCCAAATGAACCTCCATTTATGTCGAACTGCATACCGGGTAATCCAATGTGTAGGAATATCACTTGGAGCCATGTATGGATGCTTTCAGTTATATGTTTCACATGTAGTTATGGTATTTTTCATATTTCAGGTCTTGACTATCGGCTCGTGATTTTGTGTTCGACAGAGAATGAGTTCAAAGCAAGAATTGTGGCAGCTCTTGAAAGACAGAGATGCCCTTCACCTCCACTGCAACACTTGGAAGATATCAGACAATACCTGCAGTTGAAGTTTTCACAGAAGTATGAAAAAGGGGGAATGACATCTGCCTCTGGATTAGATTTCGATAGGTACGAGTTTTCAACTTTTGCTTTAATGATTCTTTAACTGTCGCAAAGCACCATTTGGAAATTAATGACCTGGACCCTCATGAAGATCCGGGTTAGAATTAAGGTTTTCAGCAACCCATGCCTGTCATGGCAACTGGCAACTGATGGGATCGGGTGGTTAGGCTCTCAGACTTGGTTGATAAATGTCATCATATTTGAATTGTGTAATTCAATGCTGATAATGTCAATCACTGCATTGTCTGATCCAGACTTGATTATTTACAGACGGCCGTTATATAGCTTGAATATTGCTGAGTGCGGACAATTAAACAACAAACAAACAAAACAAAATTAATAATTTATTGAACACGATCTCCCATGATGGCTTTAGTGTAATGCATTCCCTATCAGGTTCAGGTTTGAAAATTCATAATTGGAAAGTATTTTCGGAAAATGATCTTGTCTAGAACTAGATTGTGAAATCAGTAAATAACCATGCAAGATCAATGGACAATCAACATATTTTTATTGAAATACACAGGATAATGTTTACATTCATAAAAGGCAAAACAATAGGTAAAAATAAGTGCATGTAGCAATATACAATAATAGACCCTAATATGAAAGTCTGTGCACTCCCAAATGCCTAGTATTTTTCACACTTGGATAAGACATGTGCTTCATTCTTAAATCCAGCAATCACTATTGGAAACAGGCAGAACAGTTAGTGTTTCTGATAAGTATACCATCCGCTCTGGGCAAGTATTTAGGTACATGTCAGGTCGTAGTCGGAGGGCCTCGAATTGACCACTTAAATAGGTATGGCCAGCATTCTAGAAACAGTAACCATGCAAAATTTCCATATTTAATGTCGTTTGTCAACATCAGCTTACAAGGGAGGTCAGGTTAATTACAACTTCCATTGCAGGAACAAGTTGGAGGATTACTCATGAAACTTTTTATGAAATGTTGTCAGCACATGAGATATAATACACCCTGTTGGGATTTCTTATTAAAATAGGTCTTCAGCAACTTACATGGTTGATTGTGTGATATCATACACTGACAGAGTATTAAAAAAAGCGTCATACATACAGGAATGGGTTTTTTTGGAATGTTTTCCTGTTTTGTTTTGGAATTATAATTTAGAATTTTGAAAATGATATACGTAACTTTTCTTTCAAATAAAAAGCTCTGAAAAGTGCCATTACTAATTCACATCTTTGGTATAGAAAGCATGTAAGGAAAGCAGGGAACCATTTGCAGTATCTTACTTACCTTACATGCATGTCAGAATGTTGAGATGTCAATGAAAGTCACTTGATACAGCACAAGTTAACCTCAGCTCAGAATTTGTTTTTATTTGTTCAAATTAGAACTTGGAATGATATAAAACTGAAAACTTCAGTAAGTATTTATTTTGGGAGTGATTAATTTGAACCTGTCAATTAGAGTTGTTTCATGAGTAATCATGAGATAGTGATTGCACTGTAATGGAACAAACATTTTGTGCTATTTTTTCTGTAGTTCCACAGTGCGAGTGATCAAGTCCAAGAGAGCTGGTGTCGGGAAGACCTTGTACAAGAAGCGCCAGGTGGAGGCACTGCAGCGTCTGAACCCTAGAGTCCCTGCTACATCAGTGTCCATACATCTGTATGAGAAAAGTGTGTCTACAATGGATGTGGCAGAGAAACTGCTTGATCATACACTTCAGCCTGGACAAGTCCTACCAAGAATATTCCACCTGGACATCTCATATGAGGTGAGCTCCACTCACCTTTGTAGTGTCAAGTATCCTTGAACAGGTTTCCAACTAGAAGGCCTAAATATATCTGCATTGAATAAAATGAGCAGGTAAACACCACCAGTTAAACAATGTCAAGTTGACTGTTACAGGTTCAGGAAGGTGTTGACTATCTCCTCTTCAACCTGCTGGTTCTGGGCTCTATCAGCAACAACATGGGACATGTCTGGCTCAAGTCTCCCCTGGACTTGTATCTGGTGGAGACAATCCCCATCACAGATGTCAGACAGGACAGGGTATGTATCTGTCCATATCTGGAGAGTGAAAGGCTGTATGTAATACTGTGTATCTGGTGGAGACCATGACAGATGTCAGATAGGACAGGGTATGTATCTGTCAATATCTGGAGAGTGAAAGGCTGTATGTAATACTGTGTATCTGGTGGAGACAATCCCCATCACAGATGTCAGACAGGACAGGGTATGTATCTGTCCATATCTGGAGAGTGAAAGGCTGTATGTAATACTGTGTATCTGGTGGAGACCATCACAGATGTCAGATAGGACAGGGTATGTATCTGTCAATATCTGGAGAGTGAAAGGTTGTATGTTATACTGTGTATCTGGTAGACACTGTTACATTTCAATGCACTGGGTATTAAGATGAAAAAAATCTCATGATTGAGAACTCTTTACTTGCTGTGTAGGAAAAAGCCATCTGCCAGCTTGACTATGGCAAGGTAAATTTTGGTAGGGCTAAAGATTCTGAATGTTCTTTGCCTGACCAGCTTCTGAAATTGTAAAGGTATTTTGGGGGATTGATAAAAAAACTTCTCCCATTTCCGTAGCTAAATACAACAATCTAATAGCTGATCATTATCTGTAACAAATCGAGGTTGTGAGTTACCCTTTCTTCGTACTATTTGACTGATGATGTGCAATTTGGGTTTACTTCATTTACACCTATTGCATAATCAAATTTTCTGAAAAATTGATTGTAGCATATTTCAGCTTGGGCAATTTGAAACAAGCTAGCAATTCCACACCAACTAGCTGTATGGATCAACCGTCTTTTCAGAGTTTGCTCTTTTTTGATATTTCCAGAGCACAACTATAAAAAATGTTCAGTATCTTTCAACACAACTTGGCAGACATATCAAACAGATCCTGAAATAGTGTCTTTTGCTATTTACAGATTTGGGGCATTTTTATTTTTCTCAATTCCCATGGAAACAATTTGTACTTTGTCTTATTAGGAGGTAGATTATATTTCCAGAGTACAACTATAAAAAATGTTCAATATCTTTCAACACAACTTGGCTGACAGATCAAACAGATCCTGAAGTGGTGCCTTTTGCTATTTGCGGATTTTTAATTTTCTTGATTTCCAGTAAGTGGTCTGCTTGCATAGGCTACAGGCTTGTCGTCTTGGAGAAGGACAGATCCTAGAACATATTTGCATGCATCATTTTCTTCAGCACCTTGTGATCAGAAAATGTCAGCACTGGAGTCTTCGTAACCATCTGTTTGACATGTTCAAACGATGTCTGCTCTGTTTCAGACCTTAGCCATGGGACGTCTTTCTTTGACAGGTATCTCATAAGTGCTGTGGCTTCTGTGATATCACGAAGGCTCTTCAAGAGGTGATTGATAAGTCCCAGTTCGCTACGTTCTGAGGTGCCTGTATATCCCAAATGGCTCGCACTTTCCCAGGATCAGTCTGGAATCTTTTGTTTTGAGATGTCATTTGAAAGTGATCCTGCTCATGTGAAGCTGCAGTTTGTCATGATTTAGCTTTATATTCATTTCTTTGTGTCGGATCAGGAATCCATCCATGCATTGATCTTGGTCTTCATCAACCTATCAATATATAAAGATGTCATCTGCAATTACATATGATGTCAGGAAGACCCTCGAGGGCGTCAACCAGTTTCTTTTGGAAGATTTTTGAGGATACAGACAAGCCAGAGGGTAGTCAGAGCCATCTGTAACACCCAAATACCGTTTGAAAGGGGGTAAGCATGAATGATTCTTCATCAAGTGTCACATGCCAGAAACCTGATGAAAAATAAGCTTTGGAGAAGACCCTTGATTGGCTCAGGTCATGGAGTCAGGAAAGACAGGAAGTGTTTATGGCATAAAGCTCAATTCAGCTCCAAGGATCCTGGTAAATCTCCTGATAAGAGTCCTTTCCATCACAACTGGGTTGAAGGTCTTGTCAACTTTCAGGTGAACTGGAGTTTCAAAAACACCAAGTTTGCCATCAAATACACCACAGCATATTTATCATCTGTAGACTAAAATGCAACTCTTTCAAAGTTCTCTTTATTCACAGTAATAAGCTTCATTTGAGTGACCGATTTTAATCCATGAAGAGGTATAAAATAATCTTCCACAGCTACAAATTTCATCTTTTTGGCTTGGTTCCTCACAGTGCAGTGGCGATGTTGGTTAGTTTAGTATTGTTTCTCATCCTGTAAGGTTCTTTGCAGTCATAGACAAATTAGTTGTCTCATGATTCAGAATTACAGCTGGTATTATGTTGACAGTGGCACCTGTGTCAGCTTGGAAAATAACTTCAGTTCCATTCACAAGCACACAATGTTTAAGTTGTTTGGGGTTGTCAGTCCTGATTGAGTGAAACCATTCCTCCTCTGTCATTATTCACCATGTGAACTTTCTGGACTGCTTTGGGCACTTTCGAGCAATGTGATTTTTATCTGAAAAAAAACAACATGCAGGGCGTTTCACTTCTTGAGAATATGTTTGAACCCACAAAAGTTACTCTTTTTCTTTGGCTATTCTGACTGCCATGCCTTTTCTTCGACCTTGTTTTCACTTTTCCCACGGAAGCTACAGCATTGACCAATTGTGATCTCATTTTCTTAGAATGTGCAGAATCATTCGTAGCTGTTTTGCATATGTCAATGCATCTTTCTAGTGTTGTGCCCCTCTTTCTCTCAGAAGAGATTATTGTGCTTGCATATCTGATTCCTAACAGAATTCTGTCCCTCAGAATGAACTATGTACAGTTATTGCAATAATTGCAAGTGCTCTGGGTATTAAGATGAAAATAACTCATGATTGATCAGTCTCAACTTCATTGTAGACTTATATGGCTCTCTCAGATGTGAGTTGAAATGTGGTTAACGCACAAGATTATTGCACTTGTATACAATTTAACATGTGTGTGTGTGTGTGGCTGCTTGGACTACTCCAGACAAATACTAATTTTATAGTGCCAGCCCACTGAGATACCATCCCTCAGTTGAACATGAATACCCACTCAAACACAGTATACTGACTCTGAGCTGATCAGTCCTCATTTTTAGCCCCATTATAATTCCGAGAACCAGGCAGGGTAACAAATACCATCTTTTAAACTGTTTTGGTATATGACCTGCCTGGGGCTCGAACCCCTGACCTTCCACTCTCCAGGTAGATGCTCTACCAGTAGACCACAGAGTCAGTCTGGCTCATTCAGAAAGACATAAGGTTGTGCTTCAGTGCCCTCTGGTAGTAGTTCAGGGGAAGTAACTCTAATCTGTACATAACGTAACAGAGATCTTCATACAGATGTCTGACAGGACATAGGTTAGCCTATGTTTCTGTTTTAACTGATGCAATTCTCATGTAATATGCCAAAGGTGAGGCACAGGCTACCAAACCGATGCCCGAGCCTATAATAACAACACGACATGACCAAGGGTGTGTAGGTACTAGTGGACTACTAAACTGCTAGTAAAGTACACTAAAACCTACCATTGCCATGGCAACTAGGAACTACCACTGCCTTGCCAAATTAGTAAAAGCACTGTGGCAGCTACCGCCACCAGCCAGAAGGTCAACTACCATTGACATGACGACTCCCAACCCTGGGCCAATTTACATGGCAATTATTTGTCCAAAATAAACTAGCCCACAATAACCACGCACACCTCAACATTGTTTAATGTTGAGACAGGCCTTCTCATATATAGTTATCTGTAAGACATGTTTATTTACATAATTATGTAAGCATCATTATAACATTCATTTACATATATACAAGCATTGTTGAACTATTTTATTTACATATACACAGGTTTATTAACATATATACAAGCTGCTCTGGGGTGGGGGGGTGGTTGTGTGATTTAGTTACAGGGCTGATTGAGTTCCAGCAGTAATTAGCCTATGGTTTGGATATGTGCAATAAAGGTATTTAGTAGTTTGTACTAATTACATTTATTTTCTCTTAGAGAGCCAGTCAGCATCTGATCCATACCATATTAGAGATTCTGCCTGATGTCTATTGCTGGTCTCCTCAAGACACCCTGCAAATTCTCACAGAAGACACCATCCCTAAAGGTAATATGATTTATTTTTTAAACAAATGAATTTTGATGATGATGCACACAAAATGCCTACTTTTGTTAGCTATTGATGTTTGCTGTGTTGTACAATTGAAGAGCAACTGGTATGTCTGAACACAAATGCACCTTTGCAAAGCATGGGTTGTATACAGTATGATCTGTCATAACTAAAATCGCTTGTCTTCCATTCATTTTATAGAATTTAGAGAACATGACAGTACATTTGATCAAAAGGAGTTTGAAAGTGAGGCTTTTCAAAGGCCTTACCGATACCTTAAAAGATGGGGCACCAAACACAATATGTCTGATATTGATCCCAAGGAACCAGAAGGGACCCAGGAAGACTGCTTAGCTACTCTGTTACAGTAAGCATATGTTAATCTAGCCCAGTATATGCCTCTTTAGTATCTTGTCTAAATGCTATACCATATGTGGACACTTTATGTTGTTGATAAGCTTATACATGAAATCAACTCAGCTGTGCCAGAAGGGTCACAACAAGAAGTCTCAATGTCCTTTTACAGTGAGTGCTGGTGCTTGATTGTTTCCTGAGATTTATTGTTGATATCACCGAATTATGAATTCAACACTTTGCAAGTGTTAGCTATGTTTTCATATAAGGCTTAATAAATAGAAGAATTGGTCCTCAGGCAATGGTTTTTGAAAATATATTGTGGGCGGGTGGTATCTTTGGTTTGTTTTGGTTGTTTTGGTTGTTCAAACTAGTATGTAACCAAATGAACAATTGTGTAACCAAATAAAAAGTTGTGCGCAATCAACCTGGGAAAGGGCCTCCCTACTTTGATGAGTAAAATAGTGGAATACAGTATTTGACTACTGTTGGTTTTGGAATATTTAAGGATTTAAAAAAAAAAAAATTAAAAAAAATGGAAGTAAAACAAAACGTGCGGCTGAATTTGTGAAGGGGGCTGTGCCTGAGAACCAAGATTTTTTTTTTTAGCCTAAGTTATTTGTTTTATAATCAACTTGTATATGATTCTATAACTATGATATCCTACACTGGACTCCTGTTTTGTAATAAGTCTTCAAACTTGGATATTTGTAGACACTGTGGAGTACCAGACCCAGCTTGGTCTGAGCTTCACAACTTTGTGTGGTTCCTGAATACTCAGCTGGTGGACTTTGAGAACTCCATCTTCTGTTCAGACCTCATTTTGGAGGATCTACCTGGCTTCCCTGTGTTGGTGCTGCACTTCCTTATCCAGATGTCAAGGGTAAGTGTGCAGATTAATTATGACCATCACAATGACTTCTTGTTTTTCCATGACTATTTGATTCTAGATCATCACTCAAAACATCTGTGTGATAACATAATGACACCATGAACACATATTGTCCAAATGGTTGAGTATTTATTTGTTTTGCTATTGTTAATAATGCAGAAAGTACCATAAGGGAGCAGTTCAAAAGTTTAAAGAAGGTGAAACATTAATGAATTAATTATTTCTTGTTTTTGTTTTTAGGGTGGGGATGCATTTGTTGAATTAACTTTTCAGGTTTTGCACAGTTAAAGACAATAAATGATGATCACAGCTCTATAATTGTGATATTTTTACTCAGAAAACGAACCATAACTATCATAGGTAAAACGAGATGAAATACATGAAAGGTCATGCCTGTTCACAACACATTCATGGTGTGTTGGAGTAGCACTATTACTTGTTGTGCTCTTTTGAGAATATTTGTGGAATGGTACTGTGATTTATGATTTTTATCCCCCACCACGAAGTGGAAGGGGGATATAGGAATGGGTGCCATCCGTCCGTCCTTCTGTCACATTTCGTTTCCGGAGCAGATCTTGAAAACCGTACCATATTTCTTCACCAAACTTGGCACATAATGTCATCTCACAGTATTAAATACATTTCCTTTCTTGTTGGTAAGTTCTGCATTGCTTGAGTGTATGTTCCTCCAAAAGTGTCATGAAGACAGTTGTTGCATTCACTGACTAACTTCTTTCAGAAACACAACTCATTACAAATACAACAGTGTAACTGATCTTAAACCTACTCAACTGTATAAACACTATATATTCTTGTCAACCATACTCTGTACTTCACTTGCTTGATAAAGGTGTTAGAACCTACACCGAAACCATCGCTCCTTAATTGTAATAAAGAAGTTGTTCGTCCACATGTCTCATCCTTACTCAATACAAATTCAGTTACAGATTCCATCATTAACTGCAGATGGAAAAACAACACCAGTAATAACTGTTTTTTAGTGCTGCAATAAGGCCATTTACAAAAAGGCCCAGTGAACATAGTTCACAGGAGCTAATGCATTGCACACAACCTGACATGTCATATTGGCGGGGGATGTGAGTATTTCATGCTTGTTTTTTATGAAATCATTTGGTGGATGTCAACATTTTCATTGTTAAGTTAAGAAATGGGGGTATATCTCAAACCCTAAGGTACATTTTATCCTCTTTTTTTTTACTTTTGAACTACTCCATAAGTAACATGTATTGTGGAGCCCTTTTGCATTTATAATGTTTAGCACATATGTGATCCCTTGTGTTCTGCTTACATTGTGGAATAAACTGTGTAAAAGGTAAAGGTACCAGAGGTTATATTTAATAGTAATATGGCATATTTTTGGCATACATGAGAAATCAGTTTCAGAAAGTATGGGCAATATTGTGTAGAGTCTTCACATTTGTAAAACCACAAAGTTTGCAAATAGAATATTTTGTCTTTGTCTGCCTCAAGGACTTTGCTACCAGGTCACTGGTGATGAGCGAAGAGCCTCCACTGGACCAGCTGAAGGTTCAAGACAGAGAAGAAGAAGATCTCACACAGTTTCAGATGAAGCGGACTTGGGAAAGCAGGTTTGATATTATATGTCTGAAAATGTTATGTGCACAACTACATGCTTTATTTGTTGGAACACTTGTTCTATGTTACAAGAAATATATTATTGTAGTTTCCCAAAGTTCTTGCAAAATGATATTCAATTCCATCTTCAGGCCTCTTCCCTAAATAAAGTAATGTATTTTTATTAAAGTAACAGTATACACAATGTTTGAAATTAAGCATGAAAGTCAAAAAAGGGGTATTAGTCATTACCTTGTTTCATGATTGAGGAGGTCTATAGTTTCAAATACTATAGAAGCAAACCTCAAAGCTTGAGGACCACCCCACCCACCCCTTATTTTCTGACACTGATATGGTGTTGGATGAAAAGAATTTTGAATGGAATATAAAGACAAATTCTAAAAAATAGATATCTAAACTGTTTCCAGGCCCCATCCATACATTTTCTTCAACCCTGATGGCCACACCATGACTTTCCTTGGCTACATATAATTTAACATTTTTTAAAAAGAGGATTTTAACTGTAATCTATAAACAATATCTAACCTAACAGATAACTATTTCCAGCCCACACCCTTACATTTTCTTCAACCCTGATGGCCAGACCATGACCTTCCTTGGCTTCAACATTGACCACCGGACTGGGAACATGGTGGACCAGCAGACAGGGAGGGTGCTGGAGAAAAATCTCGTGCCCAAACCACTACAAGAAGCACTGATCAGAAACAGGGTCAACATCAATGAGAACTTTGATCAGATGCAAAGGTAAGTTGAAGTGTGATCTAATGTTCTTTAGATATATAATGTAATGAATGCCATTTGATGTCATCATGGTTAAAGGATAATAAAAGTATCTAGCAATTTTAAAAATTGCTGTTTGATACTTTTTTCAAATATACTTTAATGTGCTTCTTTGACAAATTTCAGACTTGATCGATTGGCTAAGCTGTGCAGTGTGATGCCAGGTGTTGACTTTGTACATGATCCTGATGACACATATGAACTGACAACAGACAATGTCAAGAAGATACTTGCAATTTACATGAGATTTAGGTAAGTATTGATAAGATTTTGTATTTGAATTTAATGACAGATATGTAAAATAATACATGCAAGCTGCATGTTACATGTTATGTAGGTAAATAATGGAAGGTCAATATTCGCTTCTACAGATGTGGAATCCCAGTGATAATCATGGGAGAGACAGGATGTGGGAAGACAAGACTGGTCAAGTTCATGTGTGCCCTACAGTGCATGCCAGGCTCTGACATTGAAAACATGGTCATTATGAAGGTAAAACTATTATGAGACAAGTAAAATAAGGTTATTGGTTCTCACAGTGCTGTGTGGGGATGATTGTTGCTTTGTGGTTAATATGTTGGTTGGTCCTGACAGAGATCCAGTTCATTTTCCCACACTGTGTGAAGGCCATTCTTGGTGTCCCAAGCCATTTTGTAATAGGAACACTGCTGAAAGTGGCACAAAACATTCTCATTCTATATTTTGCATATAATCTGTTCAGAGTTGAAACTTTGTCCAAAGGAAATCTGTTTTGTATTGCAACAATGCTATACAATAATAGACCTTACATTCATTCATACTGATTAGGAAACGTTGAAATTAAGTTACTTGGTTTCATATTTGTCCATTAGTCCTCAATCTTATGCAGTAAATATTTTATATTAATATTGATAACAAATCTGAGAGCAACTTATGTTATGTGGCTGTGCTTGTTGGCATTTTAAGTCGTTGACGACATGTCAAGGGGAGCTACAGTGCTGTGAGACTATTTTCTAGGTACATGGTGGCACAACCTCTGACGACATCATCAAAAAGGTCAAGCATGCGGAACAACTTGCCATTGCTAACAAGGCTAGGAACTCACACATGTACACTGTGCTGTTCTTTGATGAAGCAAACACAACAGAAGCCATTGGACTCATCAAGGAAATAATGTGTGATGGCTGTATTGATGGACAGCCACTGAAACTGTCGGAAAACCTCAAGATTGTGGCTGCCTGCAATCCTTACAGAAAGTATGTTTGAGAATATTTGAAGTTGTTTTATTTAGCAAGTACATCTTTCTTTATTTCCTTCTGTGTATTCTTTACTACAGTGAACGCTCGCTATTGCGCTACCAATGGGGTCCAAATAATTGGTGGGCGTTATAGACGATGAGCCGTTTAACCGAGGCCGAGGCGGGGGAGCGCGCTCGGCAAATCTCAAATCATCAATAGGCCTATGTGTTTATCTCACGTCACGTCAGAATAGTATATATTTTTATGGACCTAGATCTATATCTGTAATATCATTCATTTATTAAATCTGTCATATTTCACAATGTCTGAAATACGTATTCCATTCTAATTTATCATTTTTTATCAATAAATTAAAAAATTATTCACTATTTCCCGCGATGTTATTGAAAATAAAATTCTCGGACACACATTTCGACAACGGGTCCGCATCGAACATGTCAAAGAGCAAAATAAAGACTATTTTAAGCAAATCTTTAAATATATTATACAAAGTGATAAATAAAATCAACAAAAATACATCTAAAAGTAATCAAACTTACATCTAAGTTATTATTTCCATCGTTTCGTGCGATCACGTGTAATGTAAGTCAAATGACATCTTGGCTTTCGTCGCCTTGAATTCTCGGCTCGGACACAACGTTTAATGCAAAAATATATGCATAAAAAATCTTTGTCACAGCTCGTAACCTAGCACGATACATTCGCAAAGTTCCATATTTTTAATATATATAGTGATTTCCTGCTTAAAACGTTCAGAATAACACGATTTAACAAAAAATCTTTCGCTAACTTCTGAAATTTATCAAACACGAGCTTTGTATCACAGCTTGATTGGCTGCCTGAGGTCACGTGCTCAAAATTGACCAATCACGAAACTTGTAGCAGATTTCGGCAAGAAAGCGTCATTAGAAACAAATTTTAATCCAATGAAATCGCTTGTTATAACTACGGGGAAAAAACAGGCGATGTTACGAAAGCGCGATTACGAAATGAATGACCGCCGTGTTGTGACAGCAACTACATGTGTGTGACAGTTTAGCCTTAAATTGGATTGCCCACTAATTAAGAATATAAACTTCACTTGTGGTTCTCTTTTATTGCATGCATGCGCTTCTAAGATCAAAGGATGTATAGTGTGAAAAGTTAACTAGTAGAACAATCGTATTTCCGGGACCTGCCGCGGATGTTTTCAAACAGATTATTAGAACTCCATTCAGCGATAAACCGTTGATTATGCAATGAGAAGCGTTATGTGCAAATAAACAACGAACAACAATACAATCATGTCTGTGTAAAACTCTCAGTATTAAAAGTGTACATAAATTTTGGGAGCCATGCGTTACCGCGCGTAATAACCGAAGTAGCGCTTTATCGAAGAGCGCAATAGCGAGCGATCACTGTATGTACAAACTGTGGCATTGTTTCGAAAACTGATTGTAGAGCCATGACTGACATACAACTATGTTAAAGTGTAGGAATTACGATAGTCATAGCGGTACAATTATTTTGTGAAATGGGTCCCTGTTCCTTCAAATGCTCGTGGCTTTCACCAAACGTCTTTGACCTGCATCACTTCAGGCTTTCCTCCCACATCATGTGATATAACTGGAATACTATTCAAAGCGACATTAAACCCAAATCATTCACTCACTCAGTCTTTCCAATGAAGGGAGAAATATTATGCTATAGCATATCAGAACATTAAACAGTATATGTATGACATTTTTTCAGTGTTTGGTTTATGGTTTGATAGAACCAAAGTCGGCAACAATAAGTAAAACTAAAATGATTTTCATTAATTTCCCCATCTCCTCCATTTTTGTCTGAAACAGTGTACATCAGCCAGTATTAAGGTGTAAGAGACCACAACTATGCCCACAGTGTGCACAAATCTGAAAAGATATCTAGTTTCATCCTACCCAAATTTAATTGTGACCATTGCATGTTTACAAATTTTCAAATATTCATTTCAGGCATTCTGATGAGTTGATTCAGAGACTTGAAAAAGCAGGACTTGGCTATCATGTTGAAGCTGACAAGACAACAGATAAGCTAGGTAAAATCACTATTTTATTGGATGATCTGATCCAGATGAAGAAAAAACTTCATAATGACACAGCAAATAACTCTATAAAAAAGCTCTATTACATCATTGCTATAATTCTTTGTTTTGGTTGTCATCACATTGTAAGCAAATCTTTAGATTTTCAACAGAAGTCCTCTTCACTGTTAACTAACTATAATCAGTTGTACTAGTAATAGCATACAGCTGCCTAGAATCCTTGTACATTTTGTGTGTGCTCATAGAAACACCTAAAGAAATTTGTCCAAGTTTCCTGGCACATTTTTTGATAGTTTGTCATTCCATGGTACTATGTTTGGTGAAAAAGTACAAAGTTGAAATGAAGGACAAAAGTATGCAATGATAGTCAAATATTATGAATAAAGAATGAATGTTACAAATAAAGGTCATTATTTACATTCAAATAAAAAACTAAAAATACAACACAATACCAATGAACAAGTCAAACAAAAGAAAGAACAATATGTACCAAAGAACATCAGTACACAAAAAAGACTCTAAACTGCTAAATGACAACAATCACAATAACGGATGCCAGATGGTTCTGCAATTTGTAAAATATTCTGAGTTTAATCGGCTTGTTCTGCCATGTATATGATAAATGCATGCCATATTATGTCATTCCTCTAGTCCTCTTCTCTGTCAACTACACACAACTAGTTCCCGCAGTAGCACTTGTAGCCTACAGCTCACTTCTTTTCCTGTTTGTGCTAGAGACAAAACCCATACTGGCTGGTTATGAGGAAATTTGGGATGATGGTCACCAACTGTGGTTACCAACTGGGCATGGGGACTCATCTGACAGATACAGATTTCAACCATTGGGAAGATAATATGGACTTATTTGCCTCAAGTTGATTTGAGACAGGTTATTCGTTTGCCAAACCTTTGGAGGAAATTAACTATCTCATGCCAGACTTGTGACCTAAACTTGAAGAAGAAACTGTACCCCTGCCATAACCTACCATAAGTGTAATCTGCAACCTTGGCCCAGCTATGGAACTCAAGCTTTCAACCAGGCCAATGAAAATTTGTACCTAACTCATGATTGCCTTTGGCTGGATTCTCCCACAATTGACGAGGAATATTATAAGCTGCTCCATAGCTCTGACACCAAGCTCAGCTTCCATCTGGCCAGCGTCACTGACTTATCTAGAGCAAATAATCACACGATGGACATCAGTGCTTACATAAACTGGTTCGTTGCTGGAATACACTTTTGTTAAAATGCAGGAGGACCTTCTGGAGCTGTTGTGCTTCAAGCTGTCTCGTTGCCATAGGTGTTTAATAACAAGCTCATCAAGGTTGTGGAAGAGGTCTGCCAGGATATTCCTTAGAGATACAGTACTCTACCTTTTAACTTGGTGGTCAAGGCACACAAGTCGGCCTTTCAGGCCAAGAGACTAAAAGAATCTTACCAAGACAACCCTTTTTGAGAGGCTGTCAAAAAATTTGTTCTGTCTGGGAGAGAATCTTTTGAAGACAGCAGGTGGAAAGATGGACCTTCGCCTCAATAAAATGTCCCTCGATCATTGGCCAGAAACGTAGGGGAAGTGGATACAGAGGAAGTCCGGCGGAAGGTTTGAATCCCCATCTCTGCCAGTCCAAATCCAACCCATTTACACACATCAGATCCTATTGACACTGATTTGGCCTTAGATTCTAAGTTACCAGGCTTCAACCTTACCTCAACTCAAAAGTTGGAAGCAGATCACATCCCACCACTGGTTCCTAAATGTCAAAACAGACAGACACAAGTTCCACTTCCATCAGTGGCCAGACCTTGTGTCCTGGCCAGTACCTCCTGTGCCTGGCATCCATCCTCCTAGCTACAGATAATACCACAGTGGTAGCCTACATTCAGAGACAAGGAGTAACGAGGTCAGCTGGATTGATAACAGAGACTACACTGTTATTTTGCCTTGGCAGACTTGATCAACTGCAGTATATGCAAGCAAGGCATATTCCGGGGAAATTCAACTTCTTGGCAGACAGTCTTTCACCAAAATAAGGGAGGATTCATTCAGAGTTGTTTGATTGGATTTCATCAGTCTGGGACACTCTCCATCTGGATCTCTTTGCAACTTGCCTGAACCCAAACTCCCAGTGTATGTCAGTCCAGTACCAGATATTCAGGCACTTTAGGTGGGTGCCTTATCCATGGATAAGAGGGGGATGTTTGCTTATGCTTTGCCTCCTTAGTCTCTCCTTTACAAGGTTCTTCAGAAGTTGGAACTCACATATAGTCATCCTCATGGCCATGATCTGGTTGAATCAGCTAAGGTTTCTCAAGCTCAGTCTTCAACAATATCTTCTCCGTCAGCCTCAATCGGACATCCTCTCCAACAATCTACTCAGTCTTTATCTTCACGCCTGGAAATTCTGCAGGCTTCCGGCTTCTCCAAGTCTGCATCTACAGCTGTGGCGCAATCTTGGAAACCTTCATCTTCTTCAACAACAGAATGGATAAGTTTTGTCAGTGGAGACAATGACAAGGATTTGGAAATGGGGATATAACTACACCTATGGTGGACTTCCTCCTACACTTGCACCAAGATAACAAATTTCAATTCAATTTCAATTTCAATGGCAACATTGAGGGATTTATGTCGGCTTTGGCCACGGTACTCCAATCTTAGAATACTACTTATCATCAGGAATAATTTCCCCCATATCCCAAATTATCTGCATCTAGTTATCTGATATTTGCAAGAAGTGAGGTTTCTCGCCTTTTGAAAAGATTCTTGGCAACTATATGCTATTACTGAAACAGCTTATTAAGGTTAGTTGACAGTGAAGAAGAATTTATTAAAGTGTGATGACAGCCAAAATGACCCAAAATGGAATGGGTGCTGTCCGTCCATCCTTCCATCCATCCGTCATGTTTTGTTCTGGAGCATAACTCCGAAACTGTATGTTCTGGAGCATAATATTATGAATCTTTGTATATATGAAAATATGTATAAAAAACATGAATTGAAGTGGTACCTTTTGATGTGTTGGTATTTCTGAGTAAAATATTTTTGTGTTTCCTTGTTTTACATCGTGTATAGTGTCTGCATTCTCAGAAACTACTGAAGTAACATGAACGAAACTTTGCAATCTTGTCTAAGTGATACTTAATCAAGCAAATATTGAAATTGCATTCGTTTGAAGCATTTTAAGACAATTCTGTTCCAACAGGCCATGTCCCTATGAGGAGACTTGTGTACCGGGTTCAGCCTCTGCCACAGAGCATGCTGCCTCTTGTTTGGGACTTTGGCCAACTCAACATACACGTGGAAAAACTCTACATCAGACAGATGGTCAACAGATATGTGAGTTGCTTAACACTATCATGCAGGTCCTGTAAGCTCAAATACTTGATATGCTTCTTCCATACCCCTGGGGAATAAGTCTGACATAGGATTCGATGGCCTTGGAGGTCATGGTCACCCAGCGTGAACTATGCCTCAAAAAGGCTTGTGTACACGTTAACTTGAGTATTTATTAATGAAATTTGATGATACTTAGTATACATGATCTCTAAAGCATGGGAAATATAACCATATTCCAGTTACTTCTCAATAACCATTTTCCTGTCACTTATCAATAATTAAACTTAATACCTGTCATATGTCATGGCTTTGTCAAATGTCAAGGTCAATTTGAAGGTGATTGACTCATTCAGAAAGTATTGGCAGTTTGACTTGGAGACTTCATATTAGTAACACCACCTACATTTGCAAAAAGTAATGTTCCTGCATGTAATTCGATGATCTTGAAGGTCAAGGTCACTCAGTGTTATTTGGCATCCAAAAAACTTGTGTACAAATTAACATGAGTATGATTGATTGGAATTAGATGAAACTTAGTATACATTATCTCTAAGGCAGGATCTTGATCGCATCAACTCTTGAGTGACCTTGGTTTAATTATGTAACATTTCATATTTATCATTTTGATTGGTTACTTGTAATCAACCATTTCATATTGGCAGTTGGGGGATTGTCTGTTTGTTGGTAACATTTCAAATTTCATGAAATTTCTGACAATTAAAGAAAAATAAAAGGCTTTTGCAATCAGTTCAGATGAATTCAGAGTAACTAACTCAACACCTGTCATGATAGTGTCAAATGTCAAGGTCACTCTGAAGGTTATTTGCATGTGAAATGACTTGTAAATAGATACACTGAGGAAGTATTGTTAGCATATTATGGAGATTTCATATCTATAACACAACTAATAACTTTGTTATTAAAGTAACTAGAAGCTTGGGACCTTTCTGTAACAAAGTTGTGCTGCATTGGCTATGTGTTTTCTCAAGCCAGAAGTGATTTTATGGAACTGAAAGTGCTGTTAACATTGTTCTTTAAGTAGCTAGAGACATAGGACTTTCTGTTTCAAGGTCGTATTGCATTGGGTATGTATCATATCACCTGATTCGGTGAAGTCATATAAATGGTCTTGATACATGTTTCTGATGGGAAAGTCTTTTGGCATTCAGGAAATGGTGGCAATGGGGCTGTTTCTGTTTTTACATGTAATGCAAACACCTTTCTAGTTTACTCTAGTTATTTCATGTAATCCTTCTAGAATTATTTTTTGTAGCATAGCAGTTGCCATATTGATGTTCAACAAATAGTGCATCCTAATTGGACTGTGAGAACAATAGCAGTGGTCTTGGTGTCGCCAATATCTACATCATGAGTTCAGAAGTGCATAGTAAATTCTTACTCAAGAAGCAGTACATGTATTGGCTTGTTTCAACATTTGGGGCAGTATTGAAAAGGCAGTGATAGATTTGCTTTGCTTTTTGCATGTACAGTTAATGGAAATTAACTCCAGCTGACTGAAATACTCTGTTATGTTATATGAATGTTTGTTTTATGAAAACATCTGAACTTAAAATTTTACTTTGTGAAAGAATTTGAAAAAATCCAGTGAAGATATATTTTGCATTAGCTTTGAAAGCAGATTTGAAAATTTCCATTAATGTATACACAAAGAAAATAGTTAAGCACCCCCCTATTTCTGAACCATGGCAAATGGCAAAAATCATGGCATGGGATGACTGACCACAGGAGCTGGGTGATACCAATGTCATCGGATAGACCAAACATTTGAAAACAAAGTCTCTGCTTGACATGACACGTGAAACAGATCAGTAGGGGGTATAAATGCCACGTGCCCGGATGACACATTCCACCCTACGTCTCATGCCTCCAGTAAGATGTTGGATCTGTTGATGGGCCAACAACAACCACTCCTCATGCAATGCTGCTTCCAATTGGTGTAAATCTTGTACAGGAGGATCTCATGCCTGTATGGGCTGCCCCAGAATATCCCAAACATGTTCAAGGGGGTTCAAACCTGGGCTCATTGCTGGCCAGGGTAGAGTCGTCATTGCATTGGCCCTCATGCATGTGAATGATAAGACCTGGCATTGTCATCCATGTACTGAGGTCGAGTAGCAAGAACGTGGTTGTCAAAATGAGGAACGACGACTGGCCTCAAAACGTCCTGGATGTACTGAGCCCCTGTTAAGTTGCCCCTTATGGTGACCAATCCAACCTGCAATCATGAGAGATACACCCCCAAACCATTACCAAGCCCCGCCGTATGCAACAGTCAATTTAATGTTCCTTCAGGTGTAGGCCGTGTTCCGGTGCCCCCAAACTCTGGTTCTTCCAACAGTCACTTGGAGCAGAAAGCGACTTTCGTCGGACCAATGGATCCGTCTCCAAGTTCTCAGATTCCAGTTCTGTCGCGCAATACACCATGCTAAACGAGCAGCTTTGTGGTGATCTCTTAACAAGGGACACTTTATGACTCGTCTAGCCCTCAGTCCTGCTGCTTTCAGACAGTTCCTGATGGTTCTGGTGCTTAACCGACAATTGGGCAACCATAGCTGTTTCAGACAAATACATGTTAAAAAGGGTTCTCTGCGTATGAGATGAAGAAGGTCCCTGTCTTCCCTGTGTCATCACAGGAGGTCTTCCGGATCTGGGACGGTCCTGTACATCATCGGTCTGAGCATGTTTCTTGACTAAACGACTTACGACAGTGTGATGATACCCCAAATTCCAACAAATGGCATTACAAGACATTTCTGCGTTTTGCATGCGATTATTTGCCATCTTGTGGCGTTTGATAAACGCCTTCATGCCATGGTCACACAATGTCATGGAATAATTGTTTAAAACCGAGCTTAAGAAAGCAATTTTAACGTTTGGATATACTGCTTTTAGAGATACTCGAGGGTAGTATGCTGCACGGGCATACCATGCATGGCATGTGAGCTTTCGTCATGCATGATTGATTACATCATCACGAGAAAACATAATTCTTTCCGTAATTATATCTTTCATGACTGTTACAAATATTGGGACAAAACAATAATGATTAATTAGGGTGTGCTTAACTTTTTTCTTTGTGTATAATTTATAGAGTCCCATACACATATACATTTTCATGAAACTTATACTATAAACGCAAAAAAATATTTTGTTAAACTTTTCAAGAAGACTCAACATTCAAAGAGCACCTGTTGTTAAGATGACAGAAATTTTCTTGTCACAAAACAAGCAATACTTTACAATACACTGTACCGGTATGTTATTCAGGCAGCAAGAGAGAAAATTCCAGGGAGGAATTCAGGTCATGCCTGTAACTTATACTCAAATCGCCCCTCCGTTCACACTGCTTTTGCAACAGATTGTTCAACAAGAATAACATTTACATTTTTGTCATCACCTCTTCAACTACAAGGCATATGGAGCTGAAACTTTGGATAAATGATCCTAGCTGATCTTACTTTAAACCCGGCCATGATGGCCATATTGGAAATGTCATATTATGAAAATGACAGTTACTGCATGTATTATTATGACATTATATATTCAGCGATAAGGTATTATGCTGTATACCATATGTTTTTTGGCATAATTTCATATTGGATCTTGCTATGACCTTTGACCTTCACATACCTCCGTTTCTTTAATGTTATTACATTTTTTACATCTCCTCTGAAACTGTGGAGCTGAAACTTTGTATGAATGATCCCAACAATAGTGTCTCCATGTCAACTATGGTTTTCTTGGAATTCTGACAGCTGTCGCCTGTGAATTTGTAAGGTTAAACTTTGCATGTATCGTTAACAATTCTAACACATAAAAATGTTTTTCAATTTTCTGTCAAAGGTCAAGGTTCTCTTTGAGTCTTCTGTGCAACATGGTTGTATCTGTTGCATATATTCTTGTACAATCCTCAGACATGGTGATATGTGGATCTTGGAAAGTTGTCTTCATTATAAGCTTAAGTTTCCGGAAGTAGTGTTTTTGGACTAACAATGCATTTAGCTATTTTAAGATTTTATAATTTTTTAGGAGATGGCATCTACATCTCTAAACCTGAAAAGTGATGATGAAGCTGATGCAGTTTTTGTGTATGACTGCACACAAAATTCTGAACCAGTTTTAAGCATGACTTTAATTTTGTGCCCATGACATGTAGTTTATCGAACATTCTTTTTGGCAGGTACGAAATGGCGAGATTCCTAATTACCCTGGACTTGTTGAGGTTATCAGCCGGATCCTTATAGCCTCTCAAGAATTTATGAGAAAACAACAGGTTAAGTTCTTCCCCAACTTTTTATGGGCTAAAAGTGGCTTCAAGAAGGGGCTACATGATATGATTGTCTGATATCAAGAACCATCACACTTTGATCAACCATGATCTCATTAGACATGTCATACCTCATTGTTGATACCGGTACATCTCATGTATGCCCTGGGGATTTACTTATTGTGAAATAGTCATAGGTTGGGATCTGATTGTTAGATCATTAGGTCTGGGTAGTGTGCTTTTTAATAAACAATTGGAAAAGCTACAATGATTAGAGAAAAAAAATCTTTTTAGATGGTATATATACAAGGTTTAGAGATGGAAATTGTGTCAATTTAATTTTAGTGTGTATTGTGTAGTGCAATTTTCTGCAAAAGTATTTTTAGTATTTTTGCAGATTTAGACACTTAGTGGAAATTCAATTACTTGTTTAATTTTGTTAATACTTTTCCTAATGTTTGAATAGCAATGTTGACAGCAACTTTTGTGAAGTGGCTGTTTACATCTTAAACTGTCACCTCATATCTAGAACTACAGTGCTATGGCACTATGTTTGCATAATTTTAATTTTTATACCTATGTTGATAAAACAATTATTACATCTAGTTAAACTGTTTCTTAGACATCATTTCTGAAACCAGTACTTATGTCTATAGTGGTGAAATTGTGACTGCATGATCCCAGCAATGGTATCTTAAATAAATCAGTTATTCTATCACTTTTGCATGTGTGTACAGTATATAATAAGATATTGTCACTATTTTTTTCATAAAATATCCAAGAAGGTAGCAATGGGGTTGGCATACCTATGAAGGCTTTTGACTACTACACAAGTCTACAATGTGTAATCATATAAAATCTTGCTTGTAAAATGAATATGTGTTTAAAAAAGTTGTTAAAAATCTACACTTCAAGTCAAAGATCTAAAGACAATGTAGGCAAGTTACTGGTCCACTTTTGCATGTAATTCACACTATTCTAACTATCATGTATGACTTTCTCTTATGCTGAAATTGTCATATCATTTTCACTGAAGGATGAGTGCAGCTTTGTGAGTCTTCGTGATGTTGATCGTACCCTGAGTGTCATGGCCTGGTTTTACCAGCAGTCCCAGGAGAATGGAACACTGTTTAAGATGATTGATGAACAGCTGTGTCCAGAGCAGATCTCTGATGATGACGATGATGATGATGATGAAGATGAAGAAGAGGAGGGGGAAGACATCCATGAAGTGGAAGCTGATGACTTATGGAGTATGGATGATGAGATGTGTTTCACTGATGGACAGATATCTCAGAAAGTGGTAATGAAACAGTTGTTGAATTCATAAACCTACTGCCACTTTTGATCATAGTATTGTAGGTATCTTGCTTTCTCATAGTATCCACGTGAGAGCGGCTACTTTCAAGTGAGACCTGCTGAGAAGTTTTACAGTTGAATTGTATACTCACACGCAAAAGAAACGCAAGTCGAGTATGCAGTATACATGTTATTTATTTTTAACAGTATTAAAGACAAGAAATACTGATAGGGCAAGAATGACAAAAATCTGACTGAAGACAGTTTAATGGATTAAAAGGCAGATGACATAATTGTTTTTTTCACAGTTTCGGGTCAATACCCAAAATGTCAGTTGTAATAGGCGCCCTCTAAAGCCTGTAAAAGGCGCCCAGTGACAGTAGACTTATAGAGATAGTTGACAAAAGGTCAGATGTTATACTGCGGTATTTTGCGTTGTGTTCTCCTCTCCCTGTGCAGTATTCTTTTGTCTCTACGTTCTAGGAGGCTTCTGACCGGGTTACCAATTCTAATTATAAAGAAAACACAAAGAATGAAGTTGGATTTAAAGTTTATTTAACAAACAAAAAAAACAACAGGGGCAAAATCCTTCTCTTATCTATACCCTACGTAATTTTCCCCCTTCCTTACCTACGTAAACCTGTTCAACCTTATAACTTAAACTTGTACTCTTAACCACCTGTCTAACTTAACTCCCAAAAGTAAAACGTCTATAAAACAAACCTATTCAATCCCTACTCTACTTTTCCCCCACCCATACATCTTAATCTAATACCTCAACGAAAGCCCTAAAATAATAATGAATGATCCTGGTTCAGGACGCGGGAGTCGACCGTGCTTACCAGATACTGGTGAGTGACGACTGACGATTCCCTACCCAGTGTAGGCTTATAAAGCCAACATGCGGACCATGTGACCAGGAAAACGGACACAACCAATGAACACGCTCCTTACATTTCGGCTCTCCAAATCATGGCTTCCGCCTAGCCGAGCATGCAAGAAGCGTGTCATCGTCACGTCTTCCGAGCCACTACGCCCGCGTGGGCATAAGCTTCTACGCAAGGACTACAAAGATAGGTACTACGTCAGCCGTTCAACTCACCCTTAAACTAACCCACCCACTACGTTCTTAAATACATATATTTACCCACAATAATCCCCGGTCGACCACACAGTTAACACCTGGTGTGACCACCATTAGCATTGATCACTGCCACACATCTCCTGTACATTGAGTGGATCAGACGATTTGTGAAGGCATTAGGGATCCTCCTGCGCACATCCAGAGCAGCTGTAGGTAGTTCATCGGCAGTTGTAGGGACTGGGCGCACATTGTGCAGACACCTTTGAACCTCATCCCACAAGTGTTCGATGGGGTTCAGGTCAGGGCTGAAGGCTGGCCACGGTAGAACACTGATGTTGTGTTGTTGCAGAAAGTCCATGGTAGCTCTGGCAACATGGGGACGAGCGTTGTCCTGCTGGAAAATGTGTTGTTGATGTTGAGCAAAAAATGGAACAATGTGGAGTCTGATCACTTGGTTGTTATACTGCTGAGCAGTGACGCTGTGTCTCCGACCTTGACCAACATTCAGAAAGCACATGGGTCCAAGTCTCGCATTAAGTCCAATCCCTGCCCATACCATGATGCTAGGTCCACCCCATAGATCCCTTTCCACAACGTTTCTGTCAGTGAAACGATCACCTCGCCGCCGCCAAATTCTGACGCTTCCGTCTGCATGGGAGACACAAAAGCGACTTTCATCATAGAAGATGACACGCCTCCACTCACGATGACGCAATTGTCACAATTGTGATGACCCTGTGCCCACTGAAGTCGTGCTTGTCGATGCCGTGGTTGGAGAACAGGACGACGTGCTGGTCGGGAACATCTGAGGTTGTTGGAACGGAGACGTCGGATCACAGTGTCCCAGCTAATGTGTCGATTATGTGTTCCTATGGTCTGTCGAAAACTTTCACTTCCAGTTAGGAACGGATGTCGCTGGTGTTGACGGGTAATCTGCCAATCTTGTCGAGGTGTGGTGACCCTAGGACAATCGCTCTGAGGAAGGTCATTTGTGGTCTGTGTAGCATTGTATCGATGCAGGAGACGGTAAATTGTGGTAATGTTAACATTGAAATGACGGGCAACATCTTGGATAGACTCTCCAGCTTCCAAACATCAGATAGTCTGGTTTCTCTGAATTTGAGTTAGGTGTGGCATTGTTGACCAAGGAGTGGTAGGTCCAAGAATTGGCCACAGTTTTATACCAACTACAGTTCGTGACACTTCGTGCATTTTCGATTTCGCGAGAAATGGGTGCATGATACCCACATATTCATTGAAATGGTGTGTTTTGGTGATTCATTTTTTATGTTGCGTTTTTACTCGGGGCTTCCAAAATGCAACCAAAAATATTGATAACACCATCAGGCTTCACTACATGCCTTCACTACACACCATATCAATTTATGGTTCCGTGTTTGTTATCTATTTGCTTAAAACCACTTGCGTTCCTTTTGCGTGTGAGTATATAAACAGCCTTTTATCATGTATCTAATGTTGATTTTAGACTGGTGAAAAGTCACAATCTCTTTCACATGAAAATTCCATGACCATGATGTGAATTGAACATGTTTACACCACTGTTTTCTTTCATGTCATGAAGTTAGTTGGTCTTGCCCACTGTCATTAGATTCATTTTTTATTACGACTATTGTATTGTTACACTATGAGGAATCAGTATGCTGTGTCCGAGTGGGGTATTCATGCTAACCTGTGGCATGATATCTCAGTGGGCTTGCACTATAAATGTTAAGCCTCATTTCACATCATCTCACCTTGTTCTTTCAGGTATTTCTTGCATTTAGACAGTTTAAAACACTTCTCCTCAGTTTTGTTTGAAAATTTAAAACCTTCAGCATTAGGTTTTACTTTATCAACTGAAACCTTGGAGTCATGTTTTAACTATAAGTGAAAAATATTGTCAGCAATAATTGAAAACTCTTTTATTCCAATCATACCATAGTTAACACACTCGCAAAGTATACATTTTATGTATGGAAATATATTTGGTTGATATTGTTATATAATGTTTGTGATCTTTTATTCCTTATCATTTCTTTCCAGCCGGATGATCTCACAAAATCCCTTGTATTGGCACTCAGTGTGTGTTACCGAGCATCGTTGAGGAGTCGAGCTGAATATGATGCTTATATTGTGAGGTCTTTTTGGGGACCATGCTTGCTCCAAGGGGGCTCTGAACAGTTTCTCAACATCATTGACAGGTATCTAAGTCATGTATTATCTCAAATTATTTTAGCTCATCTGGCTGACTGAAAGTCAAGTGATCTTGTGTTGTGGCCTGTTTGTCCATCATGCATCGTGCGTCCTGCATTGTCTGTGATAAACATCTTCTCCTCAGAAAGCACTGGGCCAGTGAAGCTGTGATAAACATCTTCTCCTCAGAAAGCACTGGGCCAGTGAAGCTGTGATAAACATCTTCTCCTCAGAAAGCACTGGGCCAGTGAAGCTGTGATAAACATCTTCTCCTCAGAAAGCACTGGGCCAGTGAAGCTGTGATAAACATCTTCTCCTCAGAAAGCACTGGGCCAGTGAAGCTGTGATAAACATCTTCTCCTCAGAAAGCACTGGGCCAGTGAAGCTGCTACCAATAGCCATTATGAGCCTTATTAGCAATTATTACTTTGCAGAATGTAATGAAATTTGGTAAATAGGTAGTATTTTTGTGTCTATAGTGCATACATTTGTTTTTATAAAAACACAACAGCTGTGTAGAGGTTGCGGGTGCGTAATACGTACATGCCACAATAAGTTTTGATATTTTTTCCCCAATGCAGAGACATTTCCGTAAAGTATGCAATTTGATCCTGTTATTACATTATCTGGTAAGAAGAAAACATGTTCATTGTAAAAATGGAATTATGTTTGTAATCTATTTTAGTCATTGTATTAAAAATGTATTTCAATATCGTTCAAAATTTTTAAGTGGCATGTAGAAGTTGGTATGATTAACAAGGGAGATAGTTATATGCATGTGCAATTTCTTTATTAAAATGAATGCAATGTTTCAATGCAGATACTAAACCGTTATCAAGCAATTAGAGTACAGAAATTTGAAGTTGGAAAGTTATATACATGTGGATGATTGATGTTTATACCAAGTTGAATGATGATAGATTGATGTTGACACATCAATTAAGGTTGAAGTATGAAGTCCAGAATTGTTAACATTAGTTTTGGCAACGTCATGTTTGGGTCGATCGGCAGATTACACCAACCATTATTTAAACCAACCACAGTGATTAATGCTATTGATGCCTTGAAACGAACAGAAGCAGTTAACAGAGAATGGAGACATATATAAAAAATACCATACTTTGACCAGTTAAAGGTAGTATTAAATGTCGAGATAGAGTTTTCATGATCGAAATAACAAGACTGCAGAATACATAAAAAATATCCAGCAATAGCAACCAGCTGTACTAAAGGGCTAAGGCTATGGTTATTATTATTTTTAATATAGTTATAGTAAGAGCTGCAACCAAAATGATACACTATTGGAATTTATCATATAATGGGTAGGTTTCTCGGCAGGATAAAGCCAACGATATCCGTTGGGGTCATATGCGGATAGAGATGCAAATATCAACGGTCAAGTAGGGACTACTTTCACTGTTTATAAACAAACATGGCGTCGTCCTCCGTCCTCGTCATTCGGCGATCGAGTCAGAATTAACCATGGGGAATCTGGATAAACCACAGGGATAATTGCTATCATTATCAAAAGAACAGTCTAATAGACTGAAAATCAGTGTCTAACTGTGACGTAGCTAAGGCATTTTATAAGTTTTGGCAACTTTGGAGATATAAATTTGAAACAATTTTGGAGGGCAGGAGGCCTGGCCAAGCGGGATCAGTAGCCATATCTGTGCTTGTAGACCTCTGCAGCTTGAAACCTTCTCAACAAATTAAAATGGTTGGATTTGGCTGAAATATGTTTGAATTGTTACCTTGTTTCGTTTTGTCGCTGTGTGTATATCTGACTACACTTAACGTTATGACAGGACAGACAGACTGTAAACAACGTCTGACCGTGGCCATGACGTCACATAGACAAGGGTTAGAGTAACTTCCCTTTGACAAAGGGCAGTTACTCTAGCTGACAGACCGATGGATTGCCGGGAAACAACAATTGTTGTTATGCGTATATGTTGCTTCGCTAAATACAATGTTGATTCCTAATACAGGATATTTACCATCCCCAAACACACTCGCGTGATAACCTCTATATATTATTCCTGATAAAATTATAGTTTCAGATACAATTCTTCTTATCATCGCATCAAAATTCTTTGAAGTTGTATTATTGTTTTTTTAACTAAATCAGTGATATGTGGGAAGAAATTAGAAAATACAATTTAAATGATATATCATCATGGCTAGTGATGTTTTATCTCAAATTTCTCAAGTTTCTGTGCAGAGGGGTGAATCCCCAAGAGGGATGTGTGCACTAAATTCAAGAAAATACATTTTTGTAAGGGCTCAACAGATAGTTGTTTCATTTTTGGCAATATTTTAAATTTTGACCTTGATTTGACCTTTGCACTTCAACAAAATTAAAAGCTGAAACATCTTATGGTCTTTACTATATTTTATACAGATGAAACAAGTTAAGGATAATCAAAGATGTATTTAGTGGTACATTACTAGTATGTTCTTTTCAGATCTAAAATTGCCTTTCTGTGTCTCTATATATAAGATGGTCACTAGAGGAGAAGAATGTTACGAATGTTGCCTTTAATCTGTTTAAGATCCACCAATATCATTAACAATTTTAAAAATTTAACTTTGTTCGATGTTTCAACTATTTATTGGACAGAACTCAAATTCGGTGGTGACATGAAGATAGCAAGTTTAAAAAAATATTTATTTGAAAGAACTTCTTTCTGATGCATAGGCTTTTTCAAATAGTGTTTTGAAGGAATCTATTATGCAAAATGAAGTTAGTCTGTTGCTGTGCTGGTAGGATATATGGTAAATCAAACTTAAAGATAAAGTACTAAAAGATTGTTTAAAATTGGTTTGAAAGAGTTTGGAATTTGGGCATAATATCAACATACTGTCACATTTTTAGCAGTTCTGGGAAACTGACTGCTTTTAGTTTTTGTTGGAATTTGACTGCTGCCATGGCTGGAGATTTTTAGCTGAAAGGAAAGTGATCTTTAGTCATGACTTTCACCATCCTCCATCATAAACAACTATGGGACCTATTAAACTGAAACTTCACATACTTATTCCTGCCAATAATGACAACCCAATTTGTTCAAGAGGAAGCAATTTGTTTTATTCCTGCGAATTCTCTACCTCTATTACATCTTTGCCATAAATCCTGTATTTTAGCTTCAATCACACTAACTAAAGTTTTCAGATTTTCAACAGACATCCTCTTCTCTGTCAATCACACAATTAGTTGTTCCCCATATAGCACAATAGCAACCCAAGCTATGACGTGCATAATGGCGGGAATCCCACTTCTTTTCTGTGTGTGCTAAAGTCAACACCTATTTTTACTGCAAGCACTCCGCGGCAACCCAGTCGACGGTCCAGACGACCATTAATACATTGTACGGTCACCGCACGGTCTCCACAGTAACCCAGACGAACGTTAAGACACCATAAGGTCACCACAAAGACTCCAAGGTAAACCTCCCAACCGTCCAGCCGATCGGCCTACTGTTTGATCATCATACCCAAGCCATTAGCATGGACCACATGGGATCACCAGCCGACCGAGACGAGGATTACCGTACTTACCAACTGCCAACTAATACTAGCAGAGATTCATTTAAGAGCTGTTTCCAGCCAAACCAAGAGGCTGATAATGTCACAACCAATTTCTGCTCCCAAAACATTCAACGGCAAATTGGGACATGTCAAAGATGAAGTCAGACAAGATGCAACGGAACGATTCCAAACATCAACTATCAGCCTAGCTGCCAAGGCACATGGATCTTCCCATCCACAGAAACGTCCCTGGGATCAGAAGGAAGAAGAAAATGCCCCCTCTGGGTAGGATTCGTTCCAACCGTGTCGGTACGACAAGCATCGGTCTTCTCAGGAATCTTTTCGTCAGTCCGACTACAAGAAACGAGGATCCTATCGCCAGGGCAGATCGGGGGGAGAGATGAATGCAGATTCTGACTTCCTTGCTACCCATTCCAACGTTATATACCTTTTTGACTTGTTATGTCTATGGATCATTAATAATGCTGAAAATTGGAAGCAGATTACACCCTACTGCTGGATCCTAGATGTTGAAAACCCAAGCTACAAAAGAGGCATGCCATTTGGAGACTAGCGGAGACCAATAAGATGAAAGGTTTTATTCTCCGATATTCTTAGTTCCAAAGAAGAATATGACCGATATGAGAATGAGAATTGACCTAAAGACCCTCAACTGGGTCATTGTTCACAACACCGGACCAGTCGTCAATTTTTTCATGGTGATCAACTTGCCCCAATACCGCCAACATCACAGTTCCTACTCAGAACTCTGAAACACCACTGGTCTGTCAACCACAGGGTTCACAGAGGATTGCCTGTGTATGGAGCTTGAACCTAGTCGACTCAGCATACAGGATAACAGTTTACTGCACAGGAAGAATTACATGTCATGTGTCAAGACTGACTGTAAACTTCTATCTGTTGTGTTATTTGCACTTTTAACGGAATCTTACGAGCCCATGGCTAAGGCCAACTCCCATATCCAGAAAAGCATCCTTCCTCCAAACAAAAGCATCCTTCCTCCAAACCATGGCAACAGCAGCAAGAGTTTCAGAACTCCATGCTATGGACTATTCTAGTCTCACCCATAATCCACATTGGACTTTAATCACTCTACATCGCTCCCAGATATTGTAGCCAAAGGGGGTGGCAGGATATGACACCAGCAGAGGATGAGTACACCTTTGATTATCCTAACTATTAGGTGTAGGATGGATTAGAAGCACCTTGAATACAAACTGCCTCCAGTGATCGGACATGACGTTCTCACCGGAAGTTATGTCATAACCGAAATGAGATCAAAACCGGAAGTGACGTCAGCACCGGAAATAGCAGTCAGGATTAGAATCAGTGATAATGGTTTCCAGAAGAGGATTACTGTCAATTACACAGGGAGTTACTAGAGGCAGATCCCACTGGGTCCCTCTTGTATATTCTGGCTAAGATGTAATAGAGGTAGAGAATTCGCAAGAATTATCAA